TGTGTGTGTTTGCAATGCTGGGGATCAAACCCAGGATCTAGTGCCTGGTAGGAAAAGTTTCTACCGTTGAACCACACCCTCAGCCCCCAGAAGATCCTTGGAACATCAATTACTTTAACAGCTCTTTCCCAGTACAGTCTAACACAGAGCAGCTTCCTGTAGGGAGTGGGAGCTTACAAAGAACTAGCTGATCCCTTTCCTGGTTGCTTGATGGAAGGAAAGAGATGGGAGGAGAAAGCAGGTCAGCGTCCTTCCCTGACTGTACTGAGGAGCTGCTAGTATTTTTCTGGCCTTCTCTCTCTTTGGAGTGCCATCGTGGGATCCAGGAGACCATGCTCTCTATCATTGAAGATCTTTCTAGCAGATTCTTTGATGTAGGCATACATACATCTCTATAGTTCCTTCTCAGGTTCCTTTCTCAGGCCCTAGAAAACTCATGTTTGCCCCTTCCCTGATATCACCTCCCACAGTGGGGGACCACTTGGCTGTGTCTAAACCAGTCACAATTGACTGTCCTGCTGTGGTCAGGGTCAACCTACAGGAACCACTCCTGTGCTCTTTGTTTTGCAAACCTGCAGCATAAGCCTATATATACTGAGTCCCCAGAAACGTCGCTGCCATCAGAGAAGAGGCAAGTCGCTACTGGCTCTGTATGTTTATCAGGCATGCATCTATTGTCCACTGTGCCCCAAGACCACTGTGGCCACACACTAAGTTCCACTGTGAGTCCCTGCAATGATTTGAGATGAAGGCAATAGCTTCCTCCACACTTTCCTATTGTTAGAAGTCACTAGGCCCTAAGGCTTTCTCTAAAATTCCTTCTGAATCTCCCCAGACCTTCTTTGCAGCCTCTCCTGTATGTGTCAAGATGGGTGTCAGCTCATGGTACAGATCCAGGCTCTTCCTACTCCTGCCTAGTGTGGTGCCCTCCTCTTTTGATGTACAATCTATTAATTCAGATCTTTGACTGGAACCTGGAGTAGAATTCCATTTCATCACCCATCACCCAGATTTGTTTTTATGAACTACACAGAGGAGTGCTTGCCACAGAACACACACTCAGCAAAAGACAGTCCTGTATGCTCAAGCCCAGTGGTTCTTTATTTATCGTGCATTGATTTCATAACATTTGCTCTTTGTTTTATGCCTTCAGAGCTTAGAGCCCTGAACACTATGCTTGTGTCTATGTGGTTACCTGCTACTGGCAAACAGATGGACTGTTTCTCTAGTAATTGTTATCCTACACCTGTTTGCCTTTACTTTCATCATCCACAATGAAACTGACAGTCTTCATAGCTCTTTAAATAGGACTTACATGGAGTACTGTCTGACCACTGACATGCTACCATCTACTCCACAGCTTTGAAAAGCACTGGATGTTTGATCACGCTGGGATGCTCAAAAGGACATTCCATCTCATAAGCCAGTTCTTCTCACTCTACACTCATCAAACATACTTAATCTTGTAATCCGAACTGTGTTCTTATTGATACATATTTTGTCATCACCCTACTAATTTCACCCCTTACTTTTTTTCCTACTAGCCATCTAGCAGTTTTCCATACTATTTACTAGCCTTGTCTCCTTTTGGTTATCTTGTCCCCAATTAAAATTTTCTAAAGGTTACTCCTGGGAAGTTTATCCTCAGCTTAAAACCCTTTAGTGGCTCCCCATTGGCTATAGGATAAAATCCAAACACCCTGGCAAATGATCTAGCTTTACTCAGCTTTCTAGGCCCATCTGCTGCCACCGGAAACCACTCAGCACAAGAGCACACTGGTTAACACGTTCCCCTGTGTCTGTGACTTTGCTCATAATACCTAGTTTGGAGTGAGCTTCGTATCTGGTATTCATAGATTCTTGGTAGCTATTAATTCCCCCCTTTCCTTTCTTACCTATCTATAAATTTTTTCCTCATTCTTCAAGACCCAAGTCAACCATTACCCTTTTCTATTCAGAGGAGATCTTTCTGTGCCCTTTTTCCTTCCAGTATCATTGGCTGTTCCTCCTATGGTCTCCCCTCCCTCAGCACTTGGTTACTGACATAGTCCTCATTTCTCCCTGTTTCCACTGCAAGAGTGACAATTCCCTAGAGCCATTTTGCCCCTTATCCCTGCCAAAGCCACCAAACCCTGCATCAGCTTTCGACCCAGTAAGGTCTAGTAGCTGTCTGATTGATTTGGATTGCTTTCGTCAGGTTACAGGGTCTCAACGCCAAGCCTATCTGCATACACATTCATTAACAAAGTACCAGAATGCAAACCTTCTTCTCTAGCTGAACTGATCTGTGTTACATGGCATGCCCCCCCACACTGTCTCTAGTTTGTTTAAAAAAATGGCCTAAAGTATAATAAAGGGAATTTGAATTTCTAGCAGATATTCCAACCTTACAGTATTTAGACCAGTGATGAAGAAGGCATGTTGGGTTTGCTGTGTAGAAGCATTTCAGTAGAGATGATCTTGTTCCTGGGGCTAGATACCCTTCTTCAAAGTCACTTATATATCACAATTGTAAAAATGTACAATGTTCCATCGTGGCTTAATATAAAATTTTATATATGGCTTTCTAGAGTGGCTTTTTGATGGAGCCACCAGGGTTAACTTAAAAAGTGAACCAGGGATGCCACTCAAGAGGGAAAATCCTCCATGAGTTGTGAGTTGAGTGTGAACACTATAAACCTTGCAGAACACCCACATCTTCCTCTCCCACCACTTAAAAAACACACACACCTCACCAATGTTCTTGTGTAAACCTGCACTGTCTATAGAGAGGCTCTCTCTGTCTCTCTGTCTGTCTGTTTCTGTCTCTGTCTCTGTCTCTGTCTCTGTCTCTGTCTCTCTCTCTCTCTCTCTCTCTCTCTCTCTCTCTCTCTCACTGTCCCCAGACTGACAGTCTCCAATGGCTGCTCACATACTTACTTATGCAGAGGAACATGATTCCCCTTTCTCTTGAACATTTACACACACATATACACACAGATCCTTGGCATACACATACTCAGACACATGTTCACACACATGCACACACACCCTCATGCATGCATACACACTCTTGATCCTTCCATATCTCATGTACATGCACATACATATTCCTGGGTCCACACACACTCGTGTGTGCAGTGGCACAGTCTTCCTGGTTCTCCTGAATCCCATGTTTGTACACAGCTCCTGCAGAAAGAGAAGCCACGGAATCTGTCTTATTTCTGCACCTCACTCTACCTCCAGATTTTGCTCCCGTAGGACAGAGCCTGAAGAGTCTGTTTAATAGATTCAATTACTCCAGGCTCCTGAGACCTTCCAACTTAATTCTGATTGCATTAGGTGTCAGATAATTTGGGAAGAAAGGGGGAAATGCAGTCTCAAAGTCATGACTGGAAAGTCTTCCAGACGCTTGTCATTCTAAAAAGACAGACAGCAAATATTTATAACTCTGGCAGGGAGTTCAGGGGTCAACGCCTCTTGCACACCTTTTAGGCTGGGTTCTGGCCCAAAGAACAAAAGCCTCTGGGGGAGTAGCTTTGCTGTTATGCTATGAGCTGCTAGGGAAGGGGGGACCAACCAGCCCCTCTCTACTGCCCTTCCTGGGATGCTGTGTGGAGAGCAGGTAGGAGACCCGAAGGCAAGGCAGTAGCTTTGCACCGCACCCCATGCTCAGGCGATTGCCCTTTTTTCTTTAGGTCCATAGTGACAGTAATTTCCCATAAGAAGTTGACAGCTATTCAAAGATAACAGTGTTTCAGGAGCTGAGATTCCTCCCTAGACAGAGTGGGGCTTGGGAATGTACACACGTGCACTGCATGTACTATTAAGAAGCTTGTCTTCTCTGTGCCTGTTTCCTCTGCTGAAAAAAAAAACCATATACAATATTAATACTCTTCTTCCCAGAGTTGTGGTAAGGATTAATGAAGTCATACAGATCTCACCTAACAAAGCCCCAACTCCTGGCAGCCCCAACTCCAAATAGTCCCTTGATCGTCATCATTGTGTTTGGAGTTTATGAAGCAGTCAAGAATGAGAAACTGGAAGAAGCCCCAGGTGGGGATCCTGGCTTCACCCCAGGGCAGTAAGACGGAACCCACCCTAAGCATGAGGGTCATTCCCAAACTCTTCCCAGTCCTGCCTGACCACCTTCCCATGAATGTTCTTCTGGCTATCCAGGTGCTGCTGAGCCCAAGGTACACTGGAGGACACCCAGGAGCTGTGTAGGGACAGTGCTTATCAGTGATCCCTTCCCTGATCCCTTCTGCAGGGTTCAGGCTAGCCTTTCAGCCCGATGCATCACTGAGCACCTGGCCTCTTCTGCTTCCAACTATCCATCCCTGCTATGGATCTCCACCCTTCCTTCCCCTGTGTGTTACTGGTCCAGGTCACAGCTGGGACCTCATCAACATTCAAGGTTAAGAGGATCTTTTTTGAGATTTCGCCGTCCTCTAAAAGGGCTTTGAAGGACGAGAGATCCTGGTTCGCTTTCAGCTCCAACACTTCCTTGCTTCAAGCCTTTAGGCCCATTATCATTTCTCAGACTTCATTCTCTGGTGATAAGATATTTGCTTCTCAAAGCTATTGTGCCCACAAATGCTTCAAATTTCTAAGGTCCTGGAGTGCAACAGTTAACATACCCTTCCCCTTGGTTGTGGAAGCAAAGACAGGAAATGTCAGGTCCTAAAGAAGGACACTGGTAGATGAAACACTTTTATTAAACCTAAAGATCAGGAGATTCTGGAGGCAGGCACGTGAAATGGAAGGTTGAGAAGGAAGCAGGCCTCGGTACTCAGACCAGAGACTCTCTAACTGGAGTCCTCCTACTCTGCCCTGTCCGGGGTAAATCTGAGATAGCTGAGGTCCTAGAGGGAGAAACGGGCTGGTTGACAGCGTCCCTCCTGGCGGAGGGTGGGCGCTGCGCGATCTGCATCCAACGGGTCGGGGTGGGGTCTCCGCTGGGGCGGGAACCAGGGGCGGGGCGGCGGCTGCCACGCAGAGCTCAGCCTTGGGCGCGAGACCCGGCGCCTGCGGTGAGGACTACCTCTCCCGCCTCGGGCACGCTCCAGCCCGCGCGCTCCCGCGGCCCCGCGCACTCCAGCCCCTTCTCCGTCCGCGCTGCGCCGCACAGGCTGCCGCTTTGGGAGCTCGTGACCGGGGCCCTGGCGTGCGGAGAGGGCCTCGGCGGGGCCCAGCGGCGGGGCCCGGGAGGATGCGGCCCGGGGCGGCCCGACAGCTGAGCAGGGTCCCGGAGCCAGCCCCGAGCGGTCCCGGCCTTGGAAGCCGCAGCCGCCGCCCCGCCCCCGGGAGACATGACTTCCAAGCCGCATTCCGACTGGATTCCCTACAGGTACGCGGGCCCGACTTCCCCCGGCCGCGGGGCGCGTGCGAACCCCTACTCTAACACTGAGGGCGTGGGGAGGGCGGTAGTTTGCTGCCCCGAATCGGGATGCAGCGTCGGTCCGGTCATCTGGCTTGGAGGCAGGCTCTGATGCCCTCCGCATCCTTTCCAGTACCAGAGGCGCAGGTTGGAGTTGCCAAGGATTTTCATCCCAACTTTGAGGGCCTCGAAGTACCTGCCCTGCTCCACCCTCCTCAACATCCAAGGGTTGTGAAAGGATCTCTGACCTTGTTGAGTCTGGTGGCACATGGAGAAAGGAACTGCTGTGAGCTGCCTCCTAGGCCCAGCACCCAGGACATGCGCGCCTGGGTAGCTTGTGCACACACACCCCTGCATCTTCACGCTTGCACACACAGGGAGAGCATCTGTGCGCAGGGCCAAAGATGCCGATATTGTTCAGTTCATATCCCCAAAGTGTGGATTTGTGAGATAAGGCAGCTTACATATAAATGTACCTACATGTACCCATATATCTCCATAGACCTTAGTTCTTGGGCCATCTGGATACATAAAAAAATCTGTCATTCACATCTGTATAGGTATACACCGTACTACCTATTCACAAGTACTATTCAGGACCTTTCAGAGGTTCAGTAGTAGTAACCTGCTTGTTAAAGGAACTACCTCACAATACAGAAAATTGCTCTCACAGCTCATTCAAGAGCCCTGACCCACCTCCTGTTCCTGGATACTTGCTTGGTCTGACCCAGGTTTTCTTGTGTGGGAGGTGGGGGAGGGGTGGCCCCCAGCCTCGCACAGGTGCAGGCCTTTCTCCATCCACTCTACTCAATTCTATTACCAGGGAAAAGAGCTCATTGCCATAGCAGCGCCACATCCGTGGCCACTCATTGGCTCTCTAGTTGCCATGGGCTACCAGGCTCTCTCAGCCTCCTGGAGAGGCATGTGTGTAAAAAGGGTGCTGGGCTGCCAAGACCCACTTTTTTAATTGCTGACCCAGGTGCACATTCAGTGGGTTGCAGAATCAGACACTCAGGACCCACGTGCAGGCCCTAGGCAAGGATGCGGAGCCCAGTTGCTGATGGAAAGTGATTGTGACAGAGTCCTTCCAGGAGCCTGTCCAGATAGAATCCCAAATAGAAACCAGCTGGAACTGCCTGAAGCTAGTTAAAAGCAGGTCTTTCTACCAATAGGCACCTGTCATAGGCCTGGGAACTCAGGGATTTTCTTGAGAATGGTTACTACCTCAGAGCCCAGCTTCCATGGGAGCTTCCTGAGTTATTTTCTGTCTTCCCAGCAACACACACAGACACATGTCCACAGAGAATCATACACAGGCTCATCTGCAGACATGTGAGTCCGTACCCCAGTCTCACATGGCTAAGGGAGAATACTAACTGGGAACTGGGTTGTACTAACTCAGAAGACTGTCTGCCTTTGACATATATCCAGGCTGGGCATGCAGATAAGTGTTGTTGGGACCATTCTGGTATTTGGCCTCCTAGAAGTTGGTGCAGCCCTATAAAGTGTCACTGACCATTTGTCTATCAGCAGAGGTGGAAGGTGGTGCCTGTGGTCTGAACAGACGGTAGTGCTGTGGAAGTACCTTCAAGGGGATCCAGTCATAGGGTGGTGGCCAACCACAGGCTACACTGTGACTGTGGAGATAATAGCATGTTTGCTTATTGACAAATGGAAGGCTACGCTGGTCATGGTTCAAGGCTGATTCTCCCAGGGACTCAAGGACTAAAGCAACTTGCAAAGCTTGTAGAAAAAAAAATCTACCTCAAGCTAGGGAGGATTCAGCCTGCAACTGGGAAAAGAAGCCTCTGGGAGGTAGGATTGCCTCTGAGAAATCTGTTGCAAGTGCCCAGGGCATTGGTATCCTGAAATGGGCGATTGACATTCAATCCAGCACAAATTTAATTACCCCCCCTCATTTTCCCTCCCACACTCAGCTGAAAGCACTGAATCCTGCCACCCTGGACGCCTACCCCTGAAAGCAGCTTGGCACCCTGGCGGCCCACCCTGCTTCCTTTCTCCATTGCTGTCACCTGCCTCCTTGTTCTGTAGAGTAGGGAGGGTAGGTATTCAGCTGGAGGTGGGCTGTCGTCAGAAGGCTCCTCTCCTGCCCTGGTCAGTCTCTCTGGGCATGTGCAGAGCTCGGGAAAACCCTGGACTTGATTAGACTGCCCAGTAGGGAGACCTGTGTTGAGAGGAAATTCAAATGGCCCCTAGCATTACTAGGCTGCTGATTGCAGGCAAAGCCACAGGTCTGTCTGGTGGCAGGAAACTGGGACCGAAGACAAGGCATATTTCTCGGCAGCCGGGCAGGGGGTAGCGTGTGTACACGTGCTTTGACTAACATGAGGTTTCCCTAGTGCCACAGCGTGACAGAATGGAATACCGCATATGGGGGAGAGAGACTGATGAGTTAGCTCTTCTGATAGGGTTTTTCTCTCTTTCTCTGATGGTTGCATGTTGCATTCCCTGGGCTCAGCTCATTTTCTTCAAGGCAGTGATAGTTGGCACTAATCTTCTTAGGGGTAATTTTGGCTCAGTTTTTAGTGATCATGGATTAAGCTCACACTCTGACTTAAAAGGGAGCCATTTCATTTATAAAGATCAACAACTAGAGTCATGTCTTGCCTTTTGTTTCCCATTACTAGTCGCTTCCAATTCTGCCCATTTCTCCTTACCAGTATTTGTGAAGACTATTAGGTGCCTGTAGTGTATGACTCTGCAACCTTTTATAAGTTGTAGGTGGGTGGAGCTCTGAGGAAGGACTGTGGCTTCAGGCATACCGTCTTCAGTGCTTCTTTTAATTTGCATAGTATTTTTATGTGTGTGCCTGTGTGAGTTTATGTGCACCATGGGCATTCAGGCACTGGTGGAAGCCAGCAGAGGGTATCGCATCCCATGGAACTGGAGTTACAGGCAGTTGTAAATTGCCATATGGGTGCTGGGAACTGAACTCAGGTCTTCTGCAAGGGAAGTAAGCATTTTTACCTGCTGAGCCATCTGTTAAGACTCATCTTCAGTGTTCTTGCCTGAAGTGCTCAGGGCTTCCTTCACCAAGTCATGAACTCTTTGAGAGCAGGAACCTCGTGTGATGTCTAGCTGAGTCTTCAGCACTACCCAGCATAGATAAAATGCTACCTCTATAAACCAAAGTGATGTCACACTCCAGACAACATTTAGGGCTTCCTTAACTTCCTGGTCACACCGGAAGTGCTCTCTTAGCAAAGCATCCAGAACCTCTGCAAGGTTCAGTTGCAGGCCATAGAGAATCTTAGGCTGCAAGGGTCCACATAGGCCCTGTCCCTATTTCTTTGTTCCGATATGTAGCATTCCTACCAGACATCCGCCAGCCAGTCATGACTGGAAAGGGCTTCCTTGGGTTGAGGCTATGCAAGACTCTGGTTTTCCTGCCTTTTGGTTCTTGTTAGACACCCCTCACACACACACACACACACACACACACCTACCTTCAGTTCTGCCAGGGTTAGTCTCAGGTGCCTTGTTTTGACAACCATTGGTAATTCCTTCTGGAAATTTCAGTTTCTTACTCTTTGAAGATCACCAGCTGTGGTCACAAGAGTCACTTGCATGGCTGATAATTAGAGAACCCCATGGTACAACAAACTTGATTCTGGAATATGTTCCCCAGTAGCTCTGAATTATCAGGCCAAGGCCAGTGCCACCAGCAGCTTTAATTCACTCAGTGTTTGGGAACCCCTGGCCAGAAGGAGATGGCCCATCCTCAGAGGCGGAACTGCCCCCATTTCCAACTGTGTGCCAAGCAGCTGCTAGGCAGTGGGAGCCATGGGTATGGACTTCCCTCGTTCTGTTTGGCTCAATTGCAGCCAGACATTCTGGGTGGCTTGTCCTTCCTTATAGCTTATTGCTCTGATTCTTAGGTTCAGAGCAGCTTCTGCTATGGCTGAGGGAAGGAGTGAGGTAGGAAAAAAGGGGCAGGCTGCAAAGTGGGCTTGGATGGGGCATTCAGATGGCTGAGTCTACCTCTGTTGTCCTGGCCTGGACCTCTGGTAGTATAGTGAATTTGCCAGAGTTTTCAAAGTGGAATGTAGGAAGGGTGGAAACAGGTTTCTAGCCCACAGCACAAGTCCCTAGACACCTGTCTGGTCCCTCCAGGGGAGTGAGTGGTTGTAGATAACTTGGCTCCATGGGAGTTGAAGTTGTCACCTTTTTGACCCTGGGTAGAGCAGCCAAATCGGGGGATACTGCAGACTGGAGCCAGTGACGAACATTCCTTGGCCTTCTAGGTCTGGCTCCCAGTAGGAGGTGACCATAATGAAGGAGCCGCCCGGGTCAGCTGGAAGACCCATCCATCAGTGCCCTGTCTGTCTGAGCCTCCTGGCGGGGCTGCAGCTGGCAGCCTGGGCTTGGCAGTGATTCCATATTTGGAACCAGAGTCATTAAAAAGCCATTAATGTCTCCTTGCATGGTTATCATTTAGTGCAGCCTAGAACGGTGCCCATCAGAGAGGCGGGCCTGGGAGGTGTTGGGAGAAAGACAGACACCCCAGGAATGATGCTACCTTGGAGCTGAAGAGGCAGGGCTAGCCGCAAGGGGGCAGGGAGGGAGCTTTGGTTGTGCTCCCCCTCGAGACAGCCATCATGATTGTCACTGTTTCAGCACAAGCTGCTGTGCTGGGGATTCTTTTGTTAGTCACCAGGGAGCTTGTCTTTGCCAGATGCATTGTCCTTACTAGAATACCCCCTACCCAGTACAAGCTTGTCACTGCCCCCCATTGTGACCTCCAGATGCATTGTCCTCACTAGAATACCCCCCTACCCAGTACAAGCTTGTCACTGCCCCCCATTGTGATCTCCCAGTATTCTTGCGGCTCTCCTAGAAACCCGGCTTTCCTTTTGTGTTATGTGGGTGATGGGTTATTATAGGGCCTCCTATGTGCATTTTGCTGGCCCTCGAGGGGGTCATTTCTAATAGTACCTGTTATGCTGTCATGCACCATCCCTGATGCTGCATGAAGTGGTGGGTGGCTCTCTGGACTCGTCTGATATATCTGTGACTTCTAGAATCTCTCAGAGACTGTGCCCTGGTGTTCATCCTTCTCTGAAAGCCACAGTTAAGTTCCTGCTACTGTTAATCCCACAGATTTGAAGAGAAAAACCACCGACCCAAATCATGGCCAAATTAATTAGAGCAAGCTTTATTGGTATACATGGGCTGTCTCTCCCTAAGGTGGGGTTCAAGAGATCAGCATTGGATGTGGAGAAGATAGGGTTTCTATAGCTTAGGAGTAGGGCTTTTCCAAATGGGGATATTAGCAGGCAAACAGGGGGTCAGGGCGGGGGGTCACGGAAGCAGAACACAAGCATAACAAGGTGGTCTTAACTTTCTGAAGCAAAGGCATGGTTGCCATTTTCTGGAACAGGCAGTACAGAACCATTTGTAGTTAAGGTGACAGCTGGGGCAGATTTAATCATTAACAGGAATGAACCTTGTTTGCCTTTACCATAAGATGGCTTACAAGCCCAAGATGGAGGCCTGATGGTTTACCACTACCTGTATCTTATCTGTTACTACAATCTGTGGCTGTTTGTCCATCTTCCCAAAGTGGAAATGTGGGGACAGTGGGATAGGAAGTACTGTGCTCATGGAAAATAGCGTCTGATCCCAGATACAACTGCATGGAAGGTCCAGGGCAGTGTGACAGTTTCCGTGATAGGAAAACACCTCCCTGTGTGGACACAGCTGGTGAGGTCACCACTTCCAGAAACATCTTTTGTTGCCAAGTTGCAGATGGCTTTGCTGATGCACACCTTACCTTTTCTAGATATTTCTAGAAAGTTCTTTGGCACCAAGAAAAGCATATTGTTTGTTCTGCTTAGCCCAGACCATTACCTGGGATGACCCAGGTCACTGCTGCTGTCCCTGCACTGCCCTCTGAAAGAATGTAGCTTGTGACATCCCAGTAAAAGGTAAATATCCCCTCCTTCTGGCACAGAGGAAGCCAGGAATTTCTGAGGCCAGACCACCAGCACATCAGTGTCAGGATCACAGGCTGCTGGGCCCAACCAGAGCATGTCCTTTTAGCAGGTATCACTGGATAGAGCCCTTACTGAATTTCTCACCCATATTCTAAAAGCAGCAGTGAGGCTTGGACATCAGTCACAGGGAATGCTCTGCCCTTGTGTCACTGCCGTGAGTAGCAGAGGCGATAGGAAGCTGTGGTCTCTCCAGTCTTTCAAGGCCCTTGGTATCTTGATCACCTAACATCTGTGCTCTCTCTGGTCAAGAGACCTAGGTCTCCAGAGGTGCCCCCACAGGGACAGCCTGCTTTTCATGGCAAGACGCTAGCTCATCCAGACTGAAGTTTTAGGCAGCTTGTTGAGGCCTTGGGTCCTGGTAATGTGTCTGGGAGCCCCAGATGCAGAAACTCTTGGGCAGGTGGGCTCTCTTGGGAAGACTGAAGCTTAGAGCCTTGTCTTTGAGATGTATTTTTTCCTGTGTTCCAGCAGCAGAGGCTTTGGTAAATGAGGCCATTTTGTACACAGCCCTACAAACAGTTGAGGATCCCCTGATGTGCAGATCAAGGGTACAAGGAGAAGGTCTTCCCTTCTGACAAGTAGTTAGGGCAGACGTCAGTTAAAAGGGGGTTTAGTAGTCATAAGTGGCCAGGGGGTGAGTGGCCATGGGTGGCTGAGGCAGTTTAAGAGATGTCTAGGCTCAGGTGTCCGAAGGTAAGCATGACTTAGTGATTTTTGACCTTGTCTTTTCCTGTCCACACACAACGTGCTCACCTTGAGACAAGCAAGCCTACCTCTTTCTTCTTTTCTTATTTTTTCTTTCTTTTGGTTTTGGCTTTGTTTTTTTTTTTTTAAGACAGGGTTTCTCTGTGTAGCTTTGGAGTCCCTCACAAACCCGATGCACCTGGGCCTGCCTGAGCATGCCTCCACCCATAGGTCTGGTTCAGCCAGAATCCAGCATAAGTAGGAGCCTGGAACTTCCAGAGTTCCCATCCTCAGGTTCTACCTCCAGCCTGGCAACATCCTGAGTTGGCCTTTCATGGAATTTGGGCCAGAGGTGCCTTGATCTAGCAAGAAAGCTAAATGGTTTTAAATTTCTAGTTCCCTGTAGGCACAATTTTATTTCCCACCAGCCAGCTACCAAATAACCACACAGATTTATTGTTAATTATAAATGCTCAGCTGATAGCAGTAGACTTATTACTAACTAGCTGTTACAACTTAAATTAAGCCATATCTATATTCTATCACATGGGTCAGTATCCTTCTTCAACATGGTGTGTTCCTCTTGCTTCCCTGAGTCTTCAGGCGACCCTGCCCTTCTTCATCCCAGAACTCTCTCCCTGTCTGCAAGTTTCGCCTAATCTCTTCCTGCCTAGATATTGGCCATTTAGCTCTTTATTAAACCAATGAGAGCAACACATCTTCACACTGTGTAAAAAGACTATTTACAACAGTTCTCTGTTCATAGTGTGCCTTCATGGGGGGGGGGGAGCACTCTGTAAGAAGAAACTGTGGGACTCAAGGACCCTTGGTCCTCCCTGACTGTGTGTCTGTGGCCAGGGAAGGGTTAAAAGCCATTCGCTGGGCTGTGCCTCAGCTAGTTGTGGCTACCCTGCAGTTATTCTTACCTAGCCCTGGCCTTGTCCTGGGGAAACAAGTTGACGTTTTAGCCTCTCCCAAATGAGGACACTGTGCCCTCTTTAGGGGAGCAGGGCTGTGTCAGTACCTTCCCTGTTCCCGTCCAAAAGCCAGGAATTTGGGATAGCAAGATGGTCTGCCTCAGAGGACCCAGCTCTTTCCAAAAAGGATGGAAAGAAGCAGATGAGGAATGGTAAGGAACTGCAGAAACCAGTCCTGTCACGAGGGACAGCATTCTCGAGATTGGCTAATGACTGATACCACTGCCCAGGCTCCTCTGGTTTTCTGTCAGGCTTGGCCCTGCTCAGGCATCTGAAGGAGTTTCATCCTGTCTTTACCAGGGCCAGGCTAGCTTGGAAGTCCTTAAGGTAATGAAGGAGGATAAGCTACCGACATGGCAGAAAAATGGTTTGGCCCTTTGTTTTCTGATTTTTAAAGACAGGGTCTCCAGGCTGGCCTTGAACCCCCGTCCTCCTGTCTCAATCTCCCTAGCGCTGGGATTACAGGCATGATCCACCACACCCAGTCTTGAAGGCTTTGCTTTGTTTGCACTGGGGATCAGATCCAGGCCTTGTGCACACTAGGCAAATGCTGTTTGACTGAATGACACCCTTTGCCCTCTTGTCTTGAATTAGCTCCATCCTTTCTCCCTCCACCACATGGGCTCACTGGGAACCAGGATAGGAGTTTAAAAGATGGGGTTGGGGTCTGGACCACCTCCTGGAACCTCACTGGGCAGCCCTGAATACCTTTCTCTCCCTCTGCAGTGTCCTAGATGATGAGGGCAGCAACTTGAGGCAGCAGAAGCTTGACCGGCAGGTAAGTGATGCTGGGCTGGTGGGAAGGCAGAGCCTCCGCAGGGGTGTCTGGGAGCGATGAATTCCTCTTCTTTGGATGACCCTGAAGAATGGGTAGAGAAGTGAACTCTCCTTTATCAGCTCTGTTTTAATATATTAGCCCTACCCCAGTCCTCGCCTCTTCTGCCAGGCTGGCAGCTAGTCACCGGATGCCAACACGAGTCCCTACCCAGAGAAGGCTAGAGACCCCAGTACAACCTGTGGAAACTAGGGTGCTCCTTTTGACCCCACTCGTGGGAACCCCTTCCTCCTGGAGGTGGTGGGCCAGTCCACCTCTGTGTCTGCCCTGTGCCTCTGCAGCGGGCCCTGTTGGAGCAGAAGCAGAAGAAGAAGCGCCAGGAGCCCCTGATGGTGCAGGCCAACGCAGATGGGCGGCCCCGGAGCCGGCGGGCCCGGCAGTCAGAGGAGCAAGCCCCCCTGGTGGAGTCCTACCTCAGCAGCAGTGGCAGCACCAGCTACCAAGGTACTCCCTGCCTCTGACCCAGGGACAGCCAGGCTAGGGAATCCCTGCACTGGGGGTCCCACGCCCTGGGGTTGTGGGGGACTGCGGGACTCATCCTGTGGGGTTTGCTCAGGCTGAGTGTTGTGTCTGGCTCAGGTGGACAGCTGAGTGAAGCAGGCACAGAGACTTCCTTAGCCTTGGACTCCTGTTTATGTTCAGACAGTCACCTCGTGTCGGGTTCTGAGGCCAAAAGACTTAGAATTGATGGATCGGGGAGTTCCAAGGTCCAGGATTCTGATCTGAAGGGTGTCCCTGAGATCCTGTGCCCACCAGCGTTCTCTCCTGTGAAGAATCCCAGCTTCCTGCCTTACTCAGGCTAGGAGCTGCCTCCTTCTCTGAGCTCTTGCCTTCTGGCCTATAGTTGCTGCTCTTGGCTGAGGACTGAATCCCTCAGTCCTCACACTCAGTGCTCAGCACAGTCCAGTCTGGAATTCTCTCGGAACCCATCCTGCCCAGGTGTGGTGGCTCTTTTGCATCTGGGTGTCCAGGACTTTCTTCAGTTTAGGTTGGTTGGGTTCAGTGCCACAGGGCTTGTGAGGGAGACGGCAGGAAATAGGAGCTAAACAGACTCGGTCTCTACTGCCCTCTGCTGGGCTGGTGCCAGCCATGCAGGTGACTGCTTCCTGCATAGTATAGTAATTGGGAGTTAGGCTGTGGGCACCTGGGCTTTTGTGGGTAGGGTAGGCAGGACCTTAGCATTGTTTTCTTCCCTCTGTGGTTCCTTCTGACCGGAAGCCTCCAGCCACATTCACCTGCTGGTGTTTTCAGCTCAGGGAGGACTTTCTTTCTCTAACCAGTGGCCATGTCCCCTGCTCTACAGTGTCTCAGGTTCTTCCTGGTGTTCTTAGCTCAGCTCTTAGCTCACCCAACACCATCATGGTGCTTTACAGGGAAGGAATTAGGTGTGTTTCACCTGTTGCATAGGCTGAGACTTGGCACACTCTATAAAGTTGGTTCCTCCATGCGTATACACACCCGCTGAGGAAACCCTCTCCATTCCTGCTAACACAGGCTGTCTTGTCTCTGGGCCCTTGTCATTAGGTACCTGATTTTCTATGCTGTAATTTCATCCAGCATAGACAGCCACTGTTTTTGGTCCTGTGCCATACTGCCTTTTACCGTGGCACGATTTGCTCATGGATGTGGCAAGTCACTTGTCCTTTCTGTTTCACTTATAAAAAGGGGGCATTGGCCTTAGAGCTTGGAAAATGGAAGAAACCACAGTGTATTCCAGGACCCAAACTCAGGTGATTACTGTTCCCCACTGAGATCAGAATAGGTCAGACTTTTAGGGGCCTTCTCCATGGGGTACACTGGACATGTGTGAGGTTCCTGCTGCTTCTCTGGGACCCACAGTCTTTGCCCAGCTCTGAGTGATGGACAAAGCTGAGAGGCTCCTGCACACCTGCTGTTTGACCAAGACCCGTACTTCTGATCCTGCCCACAAACATCCCTAGCTTTAACTACCGCATGCCCTGCCCCCTGGTGGCTGTAGGTGTTAATGCAGGTGCTCACTCCCAGAGGTGGTGAGGGAGTGACATCAGAACTGACCCTCCCAGTGGAAGTGTTTGACCTGTTGCCAAGCTCATTCATGGCACACACCCACGAATCTCCTAAATATTCAGTGAAGGGATGCGGACTGGTGGCTGTGGGTACGGAGTGAGCAGATAGGTGTGGTTTCTGTTTCCCTGGAGCTTCCGGTCTAGGTGGGAGAGCGTTCCAGTAGGTGGTTGAGAGGAAGCCGGCTGTGTGAGGAGGACACTGGCTCTCACTATGCAATGGGGGACAGCTTCTCCGGACTTCCGGGAAATCAGAAGTAGGAATTCATCACTTGGGAAGGACAGTGCAGGCAAGGACATGCCATAACATAGAAGGAGTGTGGTTCATGCAAGGCACGAGGCCAGCCTGGTGTAGCTAGATGCTCGCTGGGTGGCGGAGTGTGTGGTGAGGCTGAGGAAGGAGAGCGCGGAGCCCACCAGGCTGGAGGCTGTTGGTGTCATCTTACGAGCATTCAGAAACTGTTCATAGAGTTTGAGCAAGTTAGGGTCCTACTCTGTGGAGATTATGGAGGGCACCGGCTGTGCCTTTCCTGATACTTCCCCGTTGGTATACCTAGCTCTGTGTTTCACGGAGTCCCTCATCCCTTACAGTGACCCCATGAGCTCGGCACCCAAGACCTCTGCAGGCTTCCTGGAGAATCTGTCTTGGCTCTCACCTGTTTCAGAAGATACAGCCTCTGTGTCCTTCATCCTCCACAGTACATTCTCTGACACTCCCCGCTGCCCTTGCCCAGACTCAGAACAGTTTGGTTCCTAGCCGTCCACTTCACTGTAGTCATCTGAGGGCCTGCCCTGGACCACTGCCTGGTGGAGATGAGTGGGTGGATGGTGTGGGTGAAGAGCGACAGTGTGGCCAGGTGACAGCACTCACCTCACCCCACACCCGTTTTTCTGTCCTCTCCTGAGCAGTTCAAGAGGCCGACTCACTTGCCAGTGTGCACCTGGGAGCCACCCGTCCACCAGCACCAGCCTCAGCCAAGAAAACCAAGGCAGCGGCTGCATCGGGGGCCCAGGGTGGGGCCCCTAAGAAAGAGAAGAAGGGAAAACATAAAGGTTAGCCTGCCTTCTCCTCAGACCTCCTGGGGCTTACTGTGGGGGTGGAGCTCATCCTCCCCACCTGAGGTGGTGCAGTATGAGCATTCTCACTGACTGAACTCAGGTGTGCTCAGGGTGCCCATCAGTAGGCCTGTCTAGCTCATGAGTGCCTCGGCTAGGGTGTGGGTGTGGAAGACCTTGTCAGACTGCCAGGAAGTACAGCTTCCTCAGGACCACCCGCCTTCCGCCCAGCTTGCCTCAGCCTGAGCTTGCCTGTCCAGTCCCAAGCCATGATGCTCTCTTTGGTGGACGCTCTCTGCTCCCCCAGCAGCTGTCAGCTCTGCCCTATGTGGATTTCTCCCAGCTTCCTGCCCTGTCCCTGGAACTCTCTGACCCACAGACCAGTGTGTTCCCTCTACCCCTCAATCTAACAGATTCCCTAGAGACCAGCGGCAGTGATGGTGGGCATTTCCCCAAGTCCTGTTTCCTGGCTACTGTTTCTTCAATCCTTGCTCATGACCATTGATTCTAGGCCGCTGTGTCATAGTTGAACATGGGGTGTCTGGGTCCTTGGCGCTTTGGAGCTGGCTCTAGCACTGAGCAATGCTCAGCCAGGCAGAGAAGCCGCTACCTATGGGCCAGGTCTTTTCCTGTCCCTCAAGATGCAGCCCCTTGGCAGGAAATGCAAAGGCAGGCTCTGCAAGCAGATGACAGGGTTCATGGGACAGAAGGCCTTTGAGGGAGGGCCATGTTTTAAGAATGTATGTGAGTGTACTGTACGTGTGTGAGTATGTGAAGAGAAAATGCCAGCATGTGCAGCCGGTAGATATCTGTGTCCAGGAAGGACTACTGCCCTCAGCTGTGGCTTGGATTGATCTTTGTTTTCTGTCTTGTTCTTTCCACTGAGCGCCTGATTTTGTAGATGGTATTGTCTGTCTTAAGGATGTGGGGTATTTCAAACCAACCCTTAGCAGTTATCTTGGGGGGAAGAACAGAAGAAATGAAGCCCACATCCCTTTACAATTTACTGAGTGTTTACAGGCTGACAGTAGTCGTTAGTTGTTATTTTTTTTAAACCAGTTTTGCAAATGAGGTTTTGCAGAGGGTCCTGTCATCCATCCCTCTCCCTTCATGGACACCTGAGAATCCAGGCTTTCCTCTCCCTCTGGATGTAACTCAGGAGTATCTGGCCTGCAGGCACCAGCGGGCCAGCAACCCTGGCAGAAGACAAGTCTGAGGCCCAAGGCCCAGTGCAGATCCTGACTGTGGGACAGTCAGACCACGCCAAGGATGCAGGGGAGACAGCAGCCGGTGGGGGCACACGGCCCAGCGGGCAGGACCTCCGTGCCACGATGCAGAGGAAGGGTGAGCCCCGTGGGGGCCCAGCTGGGACCAATGCTCAGTCCCAGGTTCTTAGATGCGCTCTTCTCCAAGAAAATACCCTTCTTGTGTTTGGTCTAGTCCCTCCCTGGATGTCATGGAGGGGCATTATGGAGTCAGATGAGAAGTTTTGGGCCAAGGCCCCTGATGAGGCCAAGTTAATAAAATGCAGTATTAGCTGGGGTAGCCAGCCAGCAGCCTATCCCTGTCTTTAACTCATGAGGCCCAGGTTTACGTGCAGATTTCTTATCCCTTTTGTTTGGACAATAAGAAGTCCATTTGTCTGCCGAGCTGCTGGGAGGCTGGGCATGTCTCCCCTAGAAACACACTGCCCAATTTCTCTGGCATTTCCTAACTCCAGGGAATCCCGGATACGGCCTGGCAGATCCACACACACTGCCTCCTAAAAGACTATTTATGAGGAAAGAACTTTTAAGGTCACCCAGAGTGGCCCTCTGTGTCAGGGAGGACAGCTGAGACAGGCTGTGGGCAAGCTGGGAAAAGCAGTCAGTGCCATCCACAGACTGAGGACCTAAGTCAGAGTCCATGTCAGAGTCTGTGGCCGATGCCACCCATGGCCAATGCCACCCATGGCCAGTAGTCAGAAGGGGGGGTTCCCTGTGCAGGTTCAGCTCTGCTTGGGCCTTGATCCACAAGCGACAGGGATGATATAAGTGACAGCGAAGACGAGGTGTGACGTAGGGACTGAGCTAAAACTGGGTGGTGGGGTTGCATCCCAAAGAGAATCGTGATGAGCTCATGTGTGCACGTGCACCAAAAAGAACATGTGTCCTTGGGTGTGTGGCTGAGTGGGAGGAGTACAGCAGTGTGAGGGTGAGTGCAGATGGCTGTACGAGTGCCTGGGTGTAGGTGCGTCCGTGTCTGAGCGTGCATCTCCACGTGACCACCCGGATTCCCAGGACAAATCTGTCTGCTCATTCCTCCATGTCCTCTGCTCCCCACAGGCATCTCCAGCAGCATGAGCTTTGATGAGGAGGAAGAGGATGAGGATGAAAACAGCTCTAGCTCCTCCCAGCTAAACAGCAACACCCGCCCTAGTTCTGCCACTAGCAGGAAGTCCATCAGGGTGAGTGAAGAGAGCAGCCTTTGCCCCCTTGTCGGAGGCTGGCGTCAGGGGTTAGGTCTGCCTAGGGGTGGTGCTGTTGCGATAAAAGCACCGACGAGAAGCATCTTGAAGAGGAAAGGGTTTATTCGGCTTCCACTGTCACAGCCATCATTGTCCCGGCGATCACGATCCGTCGATCACGATCCATCACTGAGGGAACTCAGGCAGAAGCTATGGAGGAACACTGCTTGCGGGCTCACTCACTCGCTGCACAAGAGTACTCACTTCAGGTTCATGCTCGGTTAGCTTTCTTACACAGCCCGAGCCCACCTGCTGAAGGATGTTGCCACCCACAGTGGGCGGAGCCCTCTCACATCAAGACCATCCTCCATAGACATGACCACAGGTCAGTTTGGTCTGGGCAAGCACAACCCTCATCACACCTTTGACTCTCTGCTGTCAAGCTGATAGCCGGAGCATGAGATGATAGCATTAGGAGGTGCTGGCTCTCCTTGGGTTAGCTGTTGGTATGAAGCTTCTCCAGCTCAGCTCTTCTGCTCCTCCACGGTGCCTCCTGTCTCTCCAGCAAGGTCAAAGGGCTAGGATGCCGGGAGAGCTGGACTTGGACAGGATGACCTCCTGAGAACCCGATATTATTCCTGTCTCTGCCTCCAGGAACTGCTGAGGAAAAGGACAGGCTAGAAGGTGGCCCCTGACGCTAGGACACGGTAGCCACATCCACATTCCAGGGATCCTGGCCTACCTCTCCTTCCCTCACTGAATCAGGAGGCAGACTCTTATCCTAGACCACCAGTCTGAAGTGGAGAGCCTTTTGATTTAATCTTCTACTCTCTTCTCCATAGGAGGCAGCCTCAGCCCCCAGCCCAGCAGCCCCAGAGCCACCGGTAGAGATTGAGGTCCAGGATCTAGAGGAGTTTGCTCTGAGGCCCGCCCCACAGGGGATCACCGTCAAATGCCGCATCACTCGGGACAAGAAGGGGATGGACCGGGGCATGTACCCCACCTACTTTCTGCACCTAGACCGTGAGGATGGCAAGAAGGTGAGGTTTCGCTGCACATGTATTTTCAGTTTGAAGGCCTAGAGGCTATACTATGAGGGAAGCTCAGCTCCGACACTGGCCTCTCAGTTCTTCAGGAAAATAAGAGCGTTGGGTGAGCTCATGGGCTTGTGTGTGTGAGCACATATAGATGTGTTGGGGGAGATGAAGCAGGGTGACCACTTGTGTGTGTGTAAGTGGCCACCATGACTGTGGGCCAGAGGCTAGCTCTGGAATGTGACATTGCTTTACTCTTTAAGGTATTCCTCCTGGCGGGGAGGAAGAGAAAGAAGAGCAAAACTTCCAATTACCTCATCTCTGTGGACCCGACAGACTTGTCTCGGGGAGGCGACAGCTATATCGGGAAATTACGGTACCAGTGCTCTTGTAGGAAGGCGAGGGAGGGGAGCAGAGAGCCTTCTGATGTCTCTGAATGGGATCCTGTCCATCAAGTCCAACCGTAGGCAGTCTGTGTATGCCCAGCCTTGAGTCAGACGGGTGCAGGCCCAGCATGAGTGACAGGATGTTGCCAGTGACGTAGGCCACCATGGAAGAGTCGCTCTGACTCTGATCAGAGACAAGGGACAGGGCTGCAGAGAAGCCCTGAAGAGGTGAGATGGGGAGGCCTCAGGTGAGGTCTCATTGAGGAAGAGTAAGTGAAGACCTGAGTAGCTAAGGCTGGACATAGCCCTGGGAAGGACAGACAGCCCTTCTCCATGAGGTACAGAATCCTCTCTGGCCTCCTAGATGCCACTCTGCTTACTTTCCAGAAAAAGCAGTGTCCCTGTCCCCTCCTGTGGTTCATAGGAGCCCATGAACACTGACTCACTCCCTGAATTTCCTTCATTGAGGTGAGGTCCCTTTGAGTTGCACTGATTTAGAGCTGACCACTTGTGGAGTACCTCCTCTGTGTCCCGGGTCTGCCACTGGCCATCCCATAAGTCTGTGGGCTTCTTGTAAGAGAACAGGCTGTGCCACGCCATGGGAAGAGGCGTGCAAGCCGTTGATTATGCCTTTCTTTCAGGTCCAACCTGATGGGCACGAAGTTCACTGTTTATGACAATGGCGTCAACCCTCAGAAGGCATCGTCCTCTACACTGGAAAGTGGGACTTTGCGCCAGGAGCTGGCAGCCGTGTGCTATGTGAGTTCGTAGTTTCTGGGTAGACATGCAACAGGCCATAGTGCCTGCCTGGGGTGGTTAATGCTGTGTCAAAATGGCTATTCTCTGTAGAGTGACCCTGTGTGGGATAGGGACCTAGATCTTACCTGACTTCAGGGCTCAGACCACAGCAGGCTAACTGCCTACAGATCTCTGGGGAACCATCCCTGGTCCTGCAGCCTGACCCAGGAGGCTCCTGGGCAGGGAGAAGTAGAGGCCTGGGTTCCTTTCTGGACCTCACTCCCATCCCCCTGCTGCAGCTGCAGTACCAGGCACTACAGGGATCAGAATCATTCCAGAACACAGATCCTGTTGCCTCTGTGGTCTGGAAGCTGAAGCTTGGAGTTGGGACATTTGCTAACATTATACCAACAAGTACAAGACTGGAATGCAAATACATGAGCATGCTCTGTTACAAACTTGGTTTCTTCACTTTTAAAAGTGAAGGATGGAGTGTCCTGTGGACCTTGGCAGGGATACTTAAGAGACTATGACTCCTCAGCCATTTCGCATGATCCCATAGTGCCACCTGCTGGCCAAATATAGAGAAGCAGCCTAAATCCATCTATAGTCCCGGTACTGTGGGAACAACTTAGGACTCCAGAAATAAAAACAAACCCTTATGGTATTTAAGTCTTTATTGAGAGACAAGCCATAATACAGATGTAGGTGAAACAAGTATGTTCTTGATCAATTCTCAGAATTAACAATCAAGTTAGAGATGTGGGCCTTTAGGGAGGTGCTTGCCAAGGTAACTCTTGAGTAAAGATCAGATGTGAAAACCAGCTGTGTATATGTCAGAGGAGGGCAGCGTGATTGCAGTAGAGCGTTAAGATAGCAAGAAAACTAAGCACTAGGGGCCAAATCACACAGCCCTGAAGATAGAATAAGAGTTTCAGTAGGGAAAGAAAATACATCTGAGAGCAGATAGTGGGGAGGAGAGCCTTAGGGGCCCAGGGCAGAAACAGAGTTGCAGTAGTAACTGTCTGGTGATCTTAGATTCTGGTGTAATCTGAGCACATAGCTAATAGAAATCGTGGATGGGTTAGGAATGGGGTGTGAGTGTGAAGTTAGTATGACGCCTGTTCGCGCGAGTGAATTAAGTGCTGAGCTGCCATTGACTGAAGCAAGCTGGGCGGTAGATGGGAGTAGTTTAGAGTGACTATTAGACTATCAAGTATAGACATTGAAGACGTTTCGTTCTCTTCATCTTTGCCTCCTTGGTCCAGTCTCCCCATGGGTAAGCAATTCAAAGTAGCCGGTGCTAAATTCTCTTGTTTTCCCAGGAGACAAATGTCCTGGGCTTCAAGGGACCTCGGAAGATGAGTGTGATTGTCCCAGGCATGAACATGGTTCATGAGAGAGTCTGTATCCGTCCCCGCAACGTAAGTGTCTAATGCTTCCCCACACCCCAGCCTCTGCATGAGCTTCTAAGGGCAGAATTTCCCCAAGGTGTATGCGTAGAGGATACAATTCAAGAAACCCTGGAAGTTTAGGGAACTCTAAGAAGCCTCGTTCCTGGATAAGATCCCTCTTTGGGTGGCTATGATGCCAAGGCTTGGGTCAGACCCAAGTAAAGCCACCCCCACTTCCCTACCACCAGGAACACGAGACACTGCTAGCACGCTGGCAGAACAAGAACACGGAGAGCATCATTGAGCTGCAAAACAAGACACCAGTCTGGAATGATGACACACAGTCCTACGTACTCAACTTCCATGGGCGTGTCACACAGGCTTCTGTGAAGAACTTTCAGATCATCCACGGCAATGACCGTGAGTATTGCTGCCCTCTTATTGACACTGTGTGTGGTGCTAGCCCCCACTTCCCGCTCCGTGCCAGCTAGTGACAGGATGTGGGCATATGGCTTATATTAGAAAGCTCTTCCCAACTGTAGTGATTGGAGCCCTGTCCCTAGATTCTGTGTGCCCAGGCAAACCTGGGGCTTGGGAACACCCTTTAAATGGATATCTTTTCCTCCCCGTTCCCTCCTGTCTGTATCCACCCCTCCTCTTTACCCTCTTGCTCCCCACACCCGTCTCTTCTCCTGAGCCTTTTCTTTCCATCCTTTGGTATCTCCTGGTATCTTTTTCCTTTCCTCTCGTGTCCTGTCTTACCTGTTCTTCCGGTCTCCACCATCGTGCCTGGGCACGGCCACAGCGGACTACATCGTCATGCAGTTTGGCCGGGTAGCAGAAGATGTGTTCACCATGGATTACAACTACCCACTGTGTGCACTGCAGGCCTTTGCCATTGCGCTGTCCAGCTTTGACAGCAAGCTGGCCTGCGAGTAGAGGCCTCCTCTGCCATTAGGGTGGCCCGGTCTGGAGTGGAGCTTGCCTGCCTGCCGAGACAGCCCTGCCTCCCCTCTGTTCATAGGCCCTCAGTGGGCTTTCTGGCCTTACCAACCAGAAACTGGCTGCTCTGCCTCTGCTGCTGCAGCAGGGGGACAGCAAATGGGTATGAAGGGAAAAGAGTATTTCTGTGCCCCAAGGTCAACACACATAACCAGTCCTGGGTCAGTGCCCTGCCACAGCTGTTTACCACACATGGCGACCTCTTCAGCAGGAGGAGAAACACAGGCAGGCCTGCTGAGGCCCAGCCATTCACTCAGCCTACAAGTCAGAGGACAGTGGGTGTCCCAGGAGGTAGGGGAACAGTGTGTGTGTGTGTGTATGGATAGGGCACTTAAGCTTTATGTAGCAAAGGGCCTGGTGGTCAGCAGAAAGTACTCCCACCTCAAAAGGGCCCATCAGGCCTAAGGGAAGTTGGGGGGTGGGGATAGGTGAGTGGCGGAACCTTGCTAGGACTTCAGGGGCCTGGCTGTGTGAATTAGCTGGTGGTTTAGAATGGTAGCTCATTTGTTGCTTCCAGAAGCAAGAACCCAGCTCTCAAGGCCAAATATCTGAGTGGGTGGGGGTTATAGGAGTCGTCCAGTGGGCTCCCTCCATCAGGGCTCTTGGACGCTGAGCAGCCCCAACACAACTCCTATGACACATGCATAGGGTAGAGGTCGCCACTCAAGTATGATGTGCTTCGGGAGGAATGTCCTCTCTGGGAAGACCCAGCTCCCACCATTGCCAGCATGCCTGATCTTTGAGGCTGTGTGCCATTCTTAGGGGAATGGAGACAGGCGAGGAGAGCAGAGGATATCTTTAGGGCTCAGAGGTGGCAGGACTCTGTGTGGCTCACCAAAAGCAATGCTGATTCCGGAGAACATGGGACGTGTCTCTTGGTTACCTAACTGGTTAATGGCAGAGTTCAGAACCTTAAGTTCCTTTGTTCCTCATGTTGCCCAGAAACTAGACTCTCTGGCTTTCTGGGGTCCATTCTGTATGCCCTTCCCTTCCCAATTCCAGAGACTTTGGACCCTCAGAGTTAATGTCTAAGACGGAAAATCTTTCGGTAGGACATCAGGCAGTTCCTCGTGAAACTTGTCTGAACGGATCTGGCCTGTGCCTGCGCCCCTCTCCGAGGGCCTCAAGCTACGCGCAGACCTCAGCAGGGCCACTGTGCACTCGTGTGTAGATGTGACCAGCAGCCTGAGGGTCAGGGACTAGGCCTGGACTTCCTCCACTGCCACTTTTCCTTGGATGGCACCACTCATCTGGTGGGCTTGGGAACTACAATCCCTGCCTGTGTGTCATTTGCAAGGAGCTTCTGGCCTAGATGGAGATAAGAAACCAGTGGGAAGCAAAGAGCATTTAGACATTGCTTTAAAATAGATATGCTCAGAAGCTAAGTAGAGATTTAAAAAGTCACACGTTAACTATGTAAATGAGGCTCTGCAGGTAAGAGAGCTGGATTGATGTAAATGGAAATAGTACGTAAGAAAAAAAAACCTCTGGATTTTCCTGTTTCCTTCTAAGCAAGGCACATCCGCTGCAGCAGGATCTGACACACCTGAGCCATACATCTCCACAAGAGGACCTTCCAGGGAGTTAGCCTTTGTTTACAGTCTAGTTTCTAGAAGGCCCAGGACTTCTATGCTGGGGCTGGCCTATCTCCTGATGAAAGATTACCGTGCCATCTGCTTCCTTCCCACAGTTCTGTATTTGCCCTCCTTCCCTAACTTTATAAGGATTTAGAGGTGGCAGAAAGCAGATCTTCATTCTAGTCAAGCTCTTCTCGGGGTTTACAATTTCAAGGTTGAACAGGCTGATGCTGGAGTCTAGTGGGTGGTTAAGAGTCGCACTGGAAGCACATGGGAAACTCTTGACCTCTGCTCTCTGCTTTAGCACACAAAAAGGGGGTGTTGGCTACTTGCATATACATTTGGTGACACCAGGAAATAGGCCCACTGTGGGGAAAGGCAGCCTTAGCACATGACCCTCTGTTGGGCACTGAGTGACAAGAACAGTTGAGTCATCTGCTTCAGACCAGCATCACAAGGTCAGATCTTAAGACTCAGCTCCTGGTGACATTGCCTTTTATGAGCACAGGATCATGGACCTCAAATACCAGGGCCCCAGGAATCACCTGGGTTCAGCCTCTCCCACAGTAAGATTTCTTATCTTTCACACCCTCTTCTCCTAGTTGGTCCTTGACTAGGGAGCAGATTGATGAGCGGACAGTCCCTAAGAGTGTGGGACAGCTGGAACCTTAGGCAGCTCCTCTGTATGCTACTGGCTCTATATCCTAAAACTCTCCACCCTCTGCTCCAAAACAGTTCCTGCAGAGTGGTGATGTTAGCTTCCCCAAGTCCTCTCCGAGTCTAGCTTTTTGTGTCCTTCTGGCTCCAAGGTGCTCTGTGTCCTTCTGTGTGTGTGTGCGTGCATGTATGTCTGAAGGAAAGGGCAGCCAACAGAAGTTAAGATCACGTCTGAGTAGGAAAAGACCGAGGAGGCAGTTGTGACCCCTGTGGATTATGTCCCTTCTTTCCATGCTCTTTCTCCCATGGTTCCAAGCAGGAGACTGTCAAGGAAATGTAGTGTTGGTCTCACTGGAGGCAGAGATGTGATTCTTTAAAATGAACACGATGTAGTGATGGTGCCTTAACAATCTTGACACTAAGGGGAAGCAAGTCAGGTGCAGGCTGAAAGAGAACTTTGGGTAAACCTACCTTCACTGATGAGGCAGCAACGTTGTAGAAGTGGTTTATTTGTCCCTTCTTTCTGGAAAGGCAGGGTGTTTGCCTCCAAACTTTAGAAGTAGTTCTAAGTTTAAGCGATAGGAATGACTGCTCAGATGGGGTCAGCAGGGAGGAGCCACGTCCACAGCTCTGCTCTGCAAGCACAACACCCATCTCCTCGATGGACAGCCTGGTTTCCCCCTTAGCGGCAGCCCTGGCCTTCCCTTCTCTGTATTCCTTGCCCCAGCTGTGATATCCTCATGGGATTTCAGGATGCCAGGTGCCATCAAAGCATGCTCTCTGTGGTGCCTAGCACTGTGACTGGGGCCCAACTGCCCTGCAGAGTTGGGACCTTATACTGCCCTAGGCTCTGGCTTACAGACCTGCTCTAGTCTCCAGAACCAGCTGTGGAATGGTTTCTTATTTTAGTTTATGGCCATCTGCGCACTCACTTCCAGCTTGCAATTTTCTGTCATTTCAAGATCTTAAGTACTGGGATGGGTTTTCAGTGCAGAGGTGACTTGGTCCAGGAAAATAGAACTGAATTTACAGCAGCTAGAGCATTTGAGCAAACTACATAATCCTACATCTGTCTCCTCACCTGCAAGATAAGGACGCAGGCCTGTCAAAGCTTGGTTAGTGAAGGTTAATCCTTGCTCTCATTACTACCTTTCCTCGTCATCACTGTGCCTTCTTTCTTTCTAAGAAAGATACTGCACCCCTCTCCTCTGTTCTCCTGCCCCTCCGCCCCCATTGAGGTCCAGGTAGAGCTGGAGATGAGGCTGAAATCTCGAGACTTCTGTAGAGCACCTCAGAGTAGCACACAAGGAAGCCCAGCTCCAGCCTCCTAGATGTGAGCAGCCTGGTGAGGACAGGCAGCATTTCTCTTGCTGGGAGCACACTTAGCCAGTTTTCACAACGCCTAGAACATGTATGTCTATTTGCACATGATTGTCTTTTCCTATTTTGGAGTGGTCAAACATTTTATTTTTGTTTAAAATTATCTGGAGTTTTAGACAAACTTGCAAAACTGTGCTTTTATTAAGTGACTTTTTGAATAAACTTTTTGGTATTCTGAAGCAAATGTATTTATTTATTGGTATGTGCAATGACAAACTTGGTATTTTCCCATAATAACATTATGTATGTTGTAGAATTTAGTGTTTGTCCAAGTACAGGCGTGTATCAACAAATTAAACTTGAACTGTTTGACTACTGTGTCCTTGTTTTTCATAGAGGGAGAAAATGTGTCTCTCCTAAAAATGTTCTCCATTTCATTCATTCCTAGGACCTTCAAAGGGTCAGATGGGTAGCAACAAAAAAGGCACAGAATGCTTAAAACTAGCAACATAACAGGTCAACACCATCTGCTCCTGTAGTGCCACATCCATAGTGTGGCGGGGAGTGAAGCTAGAAGGTACTTCACTGTCATCTGGGTCACCTGAAGGAACTGGCCAGTAGTTCCCAAGTGTGCCTGGTGGACAGAATTGGGATGTAAGACTTAAGGATGGGAAAGGCCCACCCACATGACTCCAGGCCATGTTTGGAGCTCAAACCATTTAAACAGGACTTTTACATATGTGGGGTTCTTTTTCCGTCTGTGGTAGATTTGAAGTCAAATGATAGAAGACTGTAGTTGTTCTTGAGAACAGGCATCAGAGCTAACGGTCTGCTCTTGAAGGGAGTCATCACAGAGTCAATCACATACCCCACAGAGTGACCCTGGACCATTCCTAGCAGTCAGAGTGGCCTTAGAGAGGGTATCAAGCAGGGCAGCCCAGAAGCAGGAGATTAAAGACAGTGATGGTGCTAAGCATCTATTCTACTGCACACTCACTCTGGGACAAATACTCCATAAACAGTCCTATAAGGTGGACATGATTCCCAGTCCATCCACAAGGACGCTGGTACCCTCTGAAGTGAAGGAATGGCCTGTTTTCTTGACACTAGAAAGTTAAGGTTTACAGGATAGTTGGCTTGTGTTCTTCCCGATCACTGCTCAACAGGTGGCATACAAAATATTCTTTCTGGATACAAATTAAAGAACTGAAAAGCAGATCTATAATTAGGGTTCACTTATTTACTCAGGTGTTTTTGATGTGATTTAAAAACATTCCCTACCTTAACCAAGGTCTTGCTCCCCAGCCTCTGCCTTTGTGAGGAAGACCATATAGAGGATATTCTAAAAGGGAAAAGGGTTTTGTTTAGCCATCAGGTTGATGAAAAACCCTAAATTTGTAGAACACATGTTCAGGAAGATCTTGGTTTACACCTGTTGCCTCTATGGTTAATCTCAGTTGCCAACCTGATGGGATTTAGAATGCCAAGGAAACACATCTGTCTATGACAGTTTACAAGATGGCTTAGTTGAGGAGGAAGACCCATCTTCATCGTGGGCAGCAGCATCACATTGGCTGGGGTACCAGACTGAATAAAAGGGGGCAAACAAGCCAAATGCTAGCATTCATCTCTCTGCTTCCTGACTGAACAGTCCTCATGGCTCCTGTTGCCAGGAAGGACTACCCTCAAACTATATGCTCTTACTGCATTAAGTTGCCTTTGTTAGGTATTTTGTCACAGCAATAACAAAGTACTAATTATGCCATGTGTATTAGATAAGTTCCTTTTTTCAAAGTGTCTATGTGCAGACCATAAATTATTGTATCACCTAAGTCTAAGTACAAAGAGCATGTCTCTGACAGACTTCTAGAGGTTAAAACCATCTCCACTCCTCAGCATACTTCCAGGTCCAATTATAATGAGACACTGTCTTGTGTTCCTACTATGACATTAGGGGATCTTCTGACTGATTACCCACCTGAGTTACCAAGCATGGTCCTAGGTGACATGCAGTGGCTTCTTAGGCCAGCTACTACTACAGTGCCCCAGAGGTCCGTGTAGACCTAATGGTGAGGCCTTGATGAATTCTGCAGCCTTTAATACTGAGAATGAATATCACAATGATGTAGGTCCCCCTAAATTGGATATACATGTAAAATCACCATATCCAAAGGATACAATTATGGGGAAGCCTACATCCTAAACTACTGAAAGGTACATTGAAGTTTTTGGCGTACACAGACAAATATATTCCTATATGCAAACTAATATCTAAAATGGCAAGAACCACAAGGGATTGGTCCTTCTGGCAGGAACTATTTCTATAGCTAATCCCCCAATAATAACAGAGTTGACTCTGTAACTTCTTATCCATCTACACACCCCACTATTCTTGTTAACCCACTCTTTCTGCCAAAACATCCTCTCTTCCTTGCTCATGTTCTTAGCATGTCACAAAGTCTCTTCTTGTACTGGTAGCTTGGCAAAAACATTCCTGTTCTTTCATGGTCCTGTAGTTTTGGGTCCACACTGTAATAAAACAGCTGCCACGTGATATGTTGTTATGCAAGAGCTAGTCAGGCTGCCCTATGCAGACTGACTAGTTCATTTACACTTATAACCCTGTGAGAACTGTGTTTTTACTCCCCTTACTTAACAGATGCTCAAACCAGGCTCAGACTGTCTGAGGAGCCTATCCAAAATTCTACAGCCAGAGATGCAGGGAAGAATCAGGACTCAGTTTTCTATGCCTGAAGAATTAACAATCTCCAGCCTTCTATAGTCCACAGTGCATCTGTCAGGCTCCTATATTAAACTGGAACTCTTTTTTTTTTTTTTTGGTTTTTCGAGACAGGGTTTCTCTGTGGCTTTGGAGGCTGTCCTGGAACTTGCTCTTGTAGACCAGGCTGGCCTCGAACTCACAGAGATCCGCCTGCCTCTGCCTCCCAAGTGCTGGGATTAAAGGCATGCGCCACCAACGCCCGGCTAAACTGGAACTCTTAAGGTACAAATTCAGTCTTAGTACTCAGCACAGGGCAACTGTCTGATGAATGAATGAGAAAAAACAAGTTCTTATAACAGGATCGCACCCAAGGACAAATGAGAACCCAGGGCTATCCTAAATCAACTTCACATGGTGGATGAGGGAGCCACACAAAACAATCTGCCAAAAAAAGAATACCTATACTGGTTTTTACACTTAGTGTTAGTTATGCCAAGGCTATCTTCAGTACACATTAACTGCATTCTTCACAATTTCAAACAAATGTTCTACACAGGGATTGATGCAGTACAGTGTATTTTTAGACAATCTTCAGGGCTTTTTCTAGTTCAACTAACATGTAAAGCTTTGTAGCAGCTGACTATCTTAGTGTGGGCCCATACCTTCTGATGGCAGCCAGGATGCTCCTGAGTGGTCCAAACTGTCTTCTGGTGTCATATTCGTGCCAGGCATAATAGAAGTCTAAAGAGTGTATCCAGCTCCACAGATTCCTTAATTTCTGAGTTCCCCATTTCTTGCCTGGGAATGTCTTTTGACATACCTTCTTTCAACTTGCAGGTCTTTTTTTTTTTTTTTTTTTTTTGGTTTTTCGAGACAGGGTTTCTCTGTATTGTTTTGGAGGCTATCGGTCCAGCCCAGCCTCGAACTCACAGAGATCCGCCTGCCTCTGCCTCCCGAGTGCTGGGATTAAAGGCGTGTGCCACCACCGCCCGGCCCGACTTGCAGGTCTTACATGTAACCGAATCGACTCACCCTTGTTAGGATTCACAGGCCACTGAACTCATGAAAGAAACCCCATCCTTAGGCCATCCTGTAGTTTCAGCAGCCTCATGCTTCAGCTTTGTGAGACACAGACTAGTGCTTATGCCTCAAATTTCCCCTACCACAGATGACCAATGTACAAAAGTGCTTCTGGATCGGAAGTTCTGTTCAATAGAGTAAAGACAAGGGAAGCTAGAGATCAGGGCAATATACAAGCAAAATGGTCTCCAGGTAGGACTGTGTGCTCATGGCCTGCTACTCTGGAGGATCCGGGGATCTTAACCTAGAAGGCTCTGAGGAGAGGCTACAGCTCAGTCAGCTGTCTTGCTGTGCTCTGGATCCCTCAGCCTCACAAGTGAGCATGCTCATCTCCTCAGGAGACTACTAACCAGTTCAACACCCAAAGAATAAGGCATTTGGGAGTCTAAAATCTTCATTCTTAAAACCTTAAGTCCCCAACATCAGCTAACTCAATGCTCATTCATAGGTAAACCATCTGTCACTCCTATGAGGAGGGGTCAGACCTTTGCAAAGGTGTTACCACCTCCAAGCACAGTCAACCAAGTATAATTACCTAATGGGTTAGTGTCTCTGATGCAGAAAAGCAGGAAGAGAAAGGTGATACTGTCCTGTGTTCACACTAATGTCTACAAGGTGACAGGTGTGTAAGCACCAGGCACGTATAGATAATATCCATGGTATTGGCCCAAGTTCTATGATATTGAACACAGAGAAGGAAGTAGAGGGCATGGGGCCATGGATGAAATTGGGAAAGATACCTTAGGAGTGGAGTAATGGATACTGCATCAAACAGGCTGCCTTCACTCTAAACTCTGGGGACTGCGCTTCCTCAACATGCCACCCACGCGTGTGTTATCAGTGCCGATCCCCAACCCTTCATTTGTAAAGTCTTGGGGCCAGTCTTCCTTGGTGGCTTCCTCTTGCTCACTGTAGCCATCTGCACTGAAACCAGCATTCTCTGCCAAGACAGCAGGATCCTCTTCATGAAAACAGCAGGAGCAAGATTCTGGGTTAGGATCACACAGGGTAACAGAATTATCTTTCTGGGCTCCAGGGTCAGTGGGCAAATGATCCCAGCTCAAATGCTCTGACTCTTCCTCTTCCATGGCTCCCATTCGTTCAGCTATTTCTTCAGCAGAGGGCTCTTTTGGGTCAGGGTAATCCACCAGGATTGTTTCTTGCCTATGCTTGATACCGTCAGAAAGGTCATACACTGGATAAGTCTCTTCAGGGTAACCTAAAGAGGAAAGTAGAACAAAGTCTTACAAAGAGCATCTTTGAAAATAAATAGTGGTGGGATCAGAGAGGATTGTCTGGCAGCAGCTATCCTATCCTAACAAATCCATTCAATAAATCTCTAAGATGGTTCTAATAGTCCTAATGTTTCACTTGAACAAATTCCTAGCAGTCTGGCTGACTGTCCCTGTGCTCTTTGAAATACAAACCAAGGCAGAGGAAAATCCTTCTTAAGGTGCTTGGGGTAGAGGGACGTCTCATCCCTCATGTCTCTGCAGCACTGATGAAGATTAAGCAAACAGCATGAGCCATCAGCATAAAAAAAAATGCACCAGTACCAGATGGAGAGGGCTTAGCTTAAGGCTAGTGTTTACAATTTCTATTTGGAACCATTTCCACATCTTCTGGTGGGGGTAGGGCTGGGAAAAGGAATGCTAAATCCTTTGAAAAATAAACCATGGTGCTTTCTACTTATCAAAACAACCAAAATCGTCTGTAAGTGTCAGAAGCAGGGGCAAGTTAGCAAAACATGACCAAGACCTCACAGGAGAAGAGCTGCATTTTCAGAGACAGAATTTCCATCGCCATCTTCTTCACAAAATGGAATAAAAGGAAAAACAGCACACAGGTAAGCAAAATGAGTAACACTGGCACTGAACCTCAGCTGTGATAATGAGAAAGAGGCTATGCTGCCAAATAAGGAATGAAATGAAATAAATCTGTGTCAGCCAAGCCCAGCCTGAGCAGCAGATGGGCCATGCTGGAACTCATGCTAGTTCTGGCAATGGCAGTGCTCACTACACAATGTTAAAAGCTGGAGAATTCACAACCCATTTGCATGTTGACGATAACTATATATTCAGCTCTGATAGATTTTTGTTCATCAATTGTGAAAAATAGCAATCTTGTGGTACAATGTGAGGTAGCTAAAGACATTTTTACAGAATTTCTGATTATAAAAGTTATTTTGACTGCAGAACTTTTGATGATGGTAGCATAGCCTTCATTTTGTTATATTTTTCCTACTGACTTTAATTATAGACAAGTTTAAAAATTAAACACAATTCACCTAGAATTCTACCACTGCTAATTTATCTCTGGCTTTTAAAATCATATATGGATAGTATTTTCCAGCCTTTTTAATAAAGGTCATGTTGAATATGGACTGTTGCCCTATACTTTTTCATTTAATATGTGTCTGGATATTTCTCCATGTCATACACCTGACATGATTTACTATTTTTTCTTTTTTAAAATATGGAGCACTTCATGAATTTGTGTGTCATCCTTGCGCAGGGGCCATGCTAATCTTCTCTGTATTGTTCAATTTTAGTATATGTGCTGCTGAAGCGAGCACTACTATTCTTACATAAGACATTCAAACAGATTCCTTCCAACTTGTCCCCATTGTAAGCTATGTGACAATGAGGAGCTCTGACCACCTACCTCAATTCCTCAAGATGGGCTTCTAGAAATACAGAGAGTAGGCCAAATTTATTTTCCAGAAGAACCATATTAAAAACACTTTGGTTCTCCCAGAGATGTAAACACTCCCTCTTACCCACCCCCACCAGCATTGACATAGTGTCAGAATCTTGCCCATGCACCCTTCACTCCCAGAACAATTTTAGACAGAGTGCTAGATAAAACAAGAGTGTAACCACCTCTATGGTTTGAGTGTCACTTCCAAAACCCTTGTTGAAGCTCAATCCTCAAAGTCATATGTCAATGGTACTTTGAGGGGAGATCTTTAGGAGGGGATTAAATCAGGTCTGAAGGTAGGTTCCATATGATGGCTTTCACAGATTTGTAAGAAAAACCTGAAGACATCAAGCATGCTCTATCTGACCATGTGATGCCCTCTAACATACAGTGACACTGCAAGAAGGCTCTGACCAGATGCCAAGTGGATGCTGACACCATGCTCTTAGACTCCTAGAACCATCAACTAAACAAGCCTCAATCCTTTTTAAGTGACCTCATCTGGTATTCAGTTATAGCAATAGCAAAAGGACTGAAATAGCTATCCAAGGCTTTCACAACTTCAGGGCAGGAACTTGTGACTTAGATGTCAACCACTGACTTCTCAAAAGAAGTCCATTTGCTTGCCTTCACTCTTCACCAAGAGCTTACCTTTGCATTTCAATGACTACCTGCTTTGGTTTAGGAGGGAAGACTATTAGACTTAAGCTCTAGACTCAATCCAGCAGCCCTAGGACTCAGGTCATCCTAGCCTCTGTGGCCCCAGGCATCAGGCCTTCGCTAGCACAAAGTCCAGGACAGTCCCATGGCCCTAGTTATCATGCTTACACATGCTCTATACAGGCTCCCACAGAATCAGGATCCAGGTCCACCCAGCAACAAACAAGCTTTGGGTTCCAGACCAGCCCTGAACCAGTTAGCAAACCCAGCCACAGCTTCTAAGTCTGTCCAGAATCACGATACCTCTGAAGTCAAAAACCCAGTTGTTAAATGCAGACATAGGTTACAGACTTAACCTACTGATGGTACAGTCCTGAAGCTAATCTCCACAGTCTAGTAGATTTAGGACCCATGCTCATTCCAGTAGATGTGAATACCAGACCAACACATACTACCAAGCTTCCAGATCACCTCTGTGGATCCCACAGTCCCAGGACCTAAAGGTAGGCCCACAAGGCTTTCTCATGAGAAATAGGCCCTTAGATGGCTCCAGAACCAGACCTTATAGACTCAAGGTTCCAGGCCCATCCCAACCATAGCCTCTGCAGACTCAGTCTTATGGCCCATTACAACTCCAGGCCATCCACTGGAGATCCAGAGTTTAAGCAAGCCACCTAAAAATACAGACAAAACAATAAAATCGAACCACAAAGGAAGAATGACAGGGAAGAAAAGAACAAAGAATCGACGAAAGAAGCAGATAACAACTATCAAAATAACAGGGGTTTGTGAGACAGCTCAGTGGGAAAAGGAACATACCTTACCACCAAGCCTAACAACCTGGGCTCCATCCCCAGGACCAACATAATGGAAGGACAGAAACAACAGGCTGACCTCTGACCTACACACACACACTGTTGCACACCCATATGCATGAGAATACACACAAACACGCAAATGTAGTAAAATCTTTAAATGACACTAGTAAGTCCTTACCTATCAATTGTTACATTGAATATAAATGAGTTAAATTTTCTAATCAACAGAATGGCTGAAGAGATTTGAAAAAATTAAAAAGGCCCAACTGAATGCTGCCTATGAGACACTCATTTCAACTCTAAGAACATACATAGAGTTAAGGAGAAAGGATTAAAAAGAAGATATCCTATAAAAATGGAAAACTAAAAATCAAGTATTTATACTTAATAAAACTAATGTTAAACCCAAAACTATCACTAATGACCCACCCGAGTGCTGAAGTAGCTCATGCCAAATGACTTAATACTTTCAAACATCATTAAAAAATATAAGCAAACAACAAGGATACACTGCTTCTATGAAAACACAGCAGGCTGGTTGTGGTGGTGCATGCTGGTAGGATTTGCTGAAGAAGGCGGAGGCAGGAGGAAAGACAGCAGTTAAAACATGAAAACCAAACTAAGCTAACGATACAGCATCCATCAAGAAAACAGTCAACATGGGGAAAGGATTTAACATGTCAACCTATCCCTAGTGACATCAAGAGGATACAGAGCAATGGAAATAGAATTCCTGTAAACAGAAAGGCATGATCACAGGGTAAAAAATTTATACCCAGGAATAAAGGTCACAAGATTAAGATGGGCATGGCTGAAAAAAAACAAATCCATGTATTAAAAGTTTACACTAAAGAATTTTCCTGTAACAAATACAAATGACAAAGAAATGGAAATTCTGAGAAATTGTGGAAGTTGATCACTGTATCCCATTTTGAATTACTAGACTGTGAAATCAAAGTAAAATAGATCAAAGCATCAGTAAAAAATGATGAAAGGAAACATCTATTCACTGATGGGAGGCTCGCTAACTGCTGGACAAAAGTAGTATAAAAACATATTCATGTATACCCAGACAGAACCAGAGACTGTGACCAAATTCAGATTTTAAAATGTAAGATGAAAATGAATTCCCAGACATAAAACAAACAGCTAACTATAAACAGGCTACCCACTGAGAAGGGGTCAGACCGGAGCAAGATATCTTGCTTTCAGTCAAGTGAAAGTACAAAATGAACAAGGATTTTCCAACTTTAAGGAAAATGGCATGGCCATGAATTTTCTAGCAGCAAGAAAACTCCATATAGGTATCCAAGTGTTGTGACCTGTGCACTTCACACAAAGTACAAATGCTTGATGTGCTTGTGTCAGCTCTACACCACTGCTACGAAATACCTAAGATAATTAACTCAGAGAAAAGTTTATTGTGGCTGAAGGCTCTGGAGAATCCAACCCAAGATTGGAAAGCCCATTGCTTTAGGCCTCTGGCAAGAGCAGCACATTACAAGAGAAGCACGAGGCAGAGCCAAGCTGCTTCCATGGGCCAGTAAGTAAAGAGGAAGTGAGTAGGGCGCCACAGTCCCCTTTGAAGGCGTCCATGAAATGAACAATGGACTTTCCCCGAGGCCCCACTTCCTAAAGGTCCACATCCAAATAATGTCAGTTTAGGGACCAAACCTTTAACATGCAAACATCAAAAGTATGACAGGACATTGTCTTGACAAATACAAAAATTCATCAAAAGTTAAATTCAGTGACCATGAAGTTGGACATAAGAAAGCGGTGGCAGGCTTGCTGCTCAAACTTGAGATCATAGCTACCTAGGACAAAAGACACAAGGCAACTTCAAGGCCAGACTGGGCAACTTAGCAAGACCCATTAAACCTTTTAAGTGGTTTGCAGATGGAGCTAAGTGGTGAAGCACTTGCCTAACATGCAAGTTATGTTTAAAGGCTATAAGTTCAATTCCTAGTAGAAATGGGGAAAATAGTTAAGCTGTATATAGCCATTTATTCCCCAAATCTCAGCACTCAGGAGGCAGAGGCAAGAGGACTAGGAGTTCAAGACCAACCTGGACTATATGGTGAGAGCCTGTCTCAGAAAAAGAAAAGATGGAGGGAAAAGAAGGGTAGATAAGGAGGGAAGAAGAGAGGAATAGAAAAATGGAAAGGGTGACTTATCAATGTATAATAATCGATCATTGGTAATGTAGCAGGAAATACAATACCATGATTAAACGATACTTAAAGCAGAAAAAGCAGGTGTCTTGAAAAGTTAGTACCATAGCTAAAATTCTGTGTGACTTCAGCATATCTTACAAGGCAGGTAGAAAATGATGGGGAAAAAAGTAATATTTGGGAATAAAGTGTATAATACAGATGTACAAACTGGAAGAAAAAAGAAATTTCTTTCATTGGTGATTGGTGAAGTTAAATATTTTCACACGTTTTACAGCTGGTGGAATTTTTTTCTTTTGTGAACTGTTTATTTGAATTTCAGTGACTTCTGCATTAGTCATAGCACTTATTATATAGCAAACCCATCAACTTGTTTTTGTCCATATTTGCCATAGATATTTTTCCAGTTCAGTGTTAGCTTTTAAACTCATATACCATCTTAACTACAGAAGGTGAAAGTATAGAAAGCTTCACTGTTAACCTTTGTGTTATAACTTCTTGTATTACTTTCAATAAATTTTTTTACATTGAGATAGGTATAGATTGATATATAGCATGAAGAAAAATATAGCATAATATAATAACCAAGATGTCTTAGGTAGGGTTTCTATTGCTGTGAAGAGACACCATGACCACAGTAACTCTTATGAGAAAAACACTTAACTGGGGTGTCTTGCTTACAGTTTCAGAGATTTAGTCCATTATCATCATGGCAGCACGCAGGCAGACATGATGCTGGAGGAAGAGCTGAGAGCCCTACATCTTGCCGGCAACCGTAAGTTGACTGACACACTGGGAAGTATCCAGAGAATAGGACACCTCAAAACTGCTCCCATAATGACACACTTCCTCCAACAAGGCCATGCCACTCTAACAAAGCCACGCCTTCTGGTAGTACCACTCCCTTTGGGGGCCACTTTTTCAAACCGCCACACAAGGTATCTACATTAGCTAAACAGAAGCTAGGGAGATAGCGTAGTGGGAAAGCACTTGTCCTGCAAGCATGAGACCTGGAATTCAACCCTAGCACCCACATACAGAGCAGGTGGACATGAATGACCTGCCTACAATCCTAGTGCGTGGGAGGCAGAGATGGGATCCTCAAAGCAAGCTGGCTAGCTGGACTAGTGAAACTGGAAAGTTCTAGATTTAAAAAAGAGTTCCTGCCTTAATATATAAGGTAGAAGGCAACTAAGACACTTGCCCTCAACCTCTTGCAAAATACAAGCATGCATGCAACATACACAAAAAGAAAAAATACAGCAGAGAATGTATCCATCCACAAGGCTGCCTTATGTCGATGCCCTTCATGGCCACACCCACTCCTTCCTACTGGCATGTTGCTCCTCAACTGTGGCGCCTGCGCCACAAGCAACTCCGAGGTATCAGGAAAAGACAAGACTTCCACTTGTTTGTACTAAAAGAATGCATGTGTTGCCTTTATTGCCAGGAGAATGTGTGTGTGTGTCTTCATTGCAAGTGCTAAGAAGTCTCTCTCTTGTAGGAGGGAGGAGCTTTATATACAGGCTTACAGCACAGTGGAAAAACCTTTTCCTCCTGCTGAATGTTGATGTCAGAGGATCAAGTCCGGGGCAGTAAGCCAGGACTAGAAAACAGGAAGCACTTGGACTGGAAAACAAGTTGCACTTGTAGGCTGACCAGCAACTCACAGAGACCCCGTGTGGCAGGGGCCCAACACTCAACCCCTAGCAACTACTAGTATGTTATCTATTCCCACAATTTTGCCATTTGAAGAGCATTCTACATAAAGAATCATATCTTTTTGAATAAGCTTCTACCCTTCACTCAATGTAAGTCTCTGTATGTATCAATAATTCATTCCTTCTTATTGCTTAGTGGAATACTATGTTATACATGTACTATCATTTAACCATTCACCTGCTGAAGGACATTCAAGTTGATCCTAGTTTTTACCTATTAGATAAAGCTGCTAAAAATACTCATGTATACAAGTTCTACATGTCCCTGTCATTATTTCTTGGGGATAAATGTCAAGGCTGCAACTGCTGTATTTACATGCTTAGATTTTTTAACAACTACATTGTTTTCCAAAACATCTTGTTGTGGATTGAATACAAAATGTGCCTTACAGGCTCATATTTTGAATGTTTGGTTCCCAGCTGGTAGTTCTATTTTGGGAGTCTGTGGAGGAGGCAAAGCCTAGTTGGAAGACACATATTGCTGAGGATGGATCCCTGTTCACTTCTCTGCTTCCTGGACCTCCCTGTTGTGAAATGGGATGTTCCACTAAGTTTTCCTGCCATTGTCAAAGGAAGTAATTTGGTCACAGAGACAGAAAAGTAACTAATACACATGCATTCCTTTTTATATCTCACTATTGATGTACATATAATACTTTCTTTGTATCCTAATCTGCAGCAATTTCTTATTTTGGTCATTCTGAAGATATGGAGAAGCACACTATTCTATTTTTTTTTTTGAGACAGTGTCTTATTATGTAACCCTCTTGCCTGGAATTTGCTATACAGACCAGGCTGGCCCCAAACTCACAGAGATCTACCTGTCTCTGCTTCTGCTTCTGATGGGATTAAAGGTGTATACAACTATACCCATCTATCATATTCTAATTTTAATATGCATTTTCTAAGAGGGAAATTATGTTGAATATGCTTTAATATATGTATTTGCAATCTGTGTATCATCTTTGCTGAAATGTCTGTTTATATCTTTTGCACATCTACAAATACTGCACCATCTATAAAGATTAACTCAAGGGAGAGATTGGAGGGAGGAAAGGGAAGGGAGAAATGATATACCTTAATTAAAGAAATAATTAAAAATATTCTCAAAATAAGCCTTAATGCAAGCACTAAAGCCATATGATTTCTAGAGGAAAACATTTTAGATTAGGCAAAATGTCTTAAACAGAACACACGAAAATATGAATTAAAAGATAGATGAAAAATATGACTTCATAAAAATTAAGACTTTAAGACTATTAAGGAAATTAAAAGGCAAGTTACAGGTTATGAGAAAATACCTAACTGGTGAAGTACTTGCATCCAAGATACATTAAAAACCCTTATAGCTGGGCATGGTGATGCACACATATAATCCCAGTACTAGGGATGTTGAAGTACAAGGATGATGCATTTAAGACTAGCCTGAGAGTGAATATAGCCCAGCCAGGGCTACTGTATCACAAAACCTTGTCTCAAAAAAATACCTCCATACAATAAATAAATATGCTGCAACTTAATAAAAACACATTCAAACCAATAATCAAAAATGATAATTTCAGCAGGCTCTTCAACAAAGATAAACAGTTTGAAAATAAGCACATGAGAGCCAGGTGGTGGTGGTGCAAGCCTTTTATTCTGGCACTTGAGAGGCAGAGGCAGGCGGATCTCTGTGAGTTTGAGACCAGCCTGGTCTACAAGAGCTAGTTCCAGGACAGCCTCCAAAGCCCAGAAAAACCCTGTCTGAAAAAAAAAAGCACATGAAAAACTGTTCAGCATCATAAGTCATTGGGGAAATGTAAACTTGAGTTGTGACTGTGATGCCACCCGAATCTCATGGAATGGCTAACATTTACAAAGACAGTGTATTAGCAAGATATGGAGTAACCTACTCTCACAAGCTGCTGATGGGAATGTACAGCCACTTCAAAGCCAGCTCACAGTGTCTATAAATTTAAACATCCACTCACTACAAACCTTGAAATTCTAATCCTAAGCATATATCAAAAGAGAAGCACAGTATGTCCAAAAGTAGCCTTGTGAAGCCTTGCATGCAGGCCTCACAGCAGCTCAGATACTACAGTTCAAAGATAGAAAGAGCCCAGTGCTAATCAGCCAGTGAGTGGATTAACAAACTGTGGCATATTTATACAATACTGCCCAGCAATTTCAGAAAGAACTTGGATACACTCAACAACACACATGAATCTCAAATGCAGTACTCTAAACAGAAGATACCCACCACACCATATCTGCAATACAATCCATTTATATCAGAAAAGCCAAGCTACAGGGGTGGAAAGCAACTCAGCTGCTCACAGGGACAGGAGGGAGGGACTTTCTAGGGTGACGAAACTGTCCTATTCTGAGGCTATAGTATGACTACAACCGTACACATTTGCCAAACTTTCCAATTGCACATTCATAAACGGTAAACATTATACAAGTAAAAACAGAGATTTGTCATGTCTCAGTACCAAACTGGTTTTTAAGGAAATCCATAAGATGTCCTTTCTGGGAGATAGCTAATAAAGAAGTAAGAGGACATTTTACCTTCCCAGTCCTCCATGTAAGGGGCTTCCTCGGCTTCCTTCTCTGGAGTAGATGTGTCAATGAGCTTGCCTTCTTTCATGACCCTGGTGATTTCTCGGAGCTGATGCAGTAATCGTTTCTCTTGGTCAGATGTCACAGTCTGTACTCTGCTGAGAAACATCAGACAATCCAGCCATTTGGTGGTCAGCACTCCTAAGCAACAGGGAGAAACTTCACCATGATCTGTTTGGATCCTCAAAGAGGAGGTCTAATAGCAGGTGGTTTTTCTAGAATTGATTCTGGAATGTCATGGCTGGCACCAGAGGTGTTAGTTCCATGTCGTGATTTTATAAACGGGAACCTAGTCTCCAGATCCTTCAGTGACTGCTTGAGTCCACCATGTGTTGACATGGAAACAAGGCCCCAGTGGTCTCAGCTACATACCAGTCTGAGTCCCCAGCTCCTGCAATTTCCCTCGAACTCATTTACCTATTACCTGTACTCTGAGACACTTTCTCTGAAGCAAGGATGGCAAATATTCTAGGCCATTAGTCCTAACACAGAAAAATACTGGACTGGGATCATAAGGCTTCTTCTCAGAGGTACATAACTCAGAACATTCAACCATGTAGATAAACTGAGGAGCTGAGCTCCACAAGCTGAAATTTACACACGTGGTTACAGTTTGTGCCTTTTCTTTTTCCATCTCTCCTTCCTCACTCCCTCTCCTCTCCTTTCTTGTAGAACTCCAGTAAGCAAACACTCTATCAATGAGCCATACCCCACCACAGTACTCAACTTCTACAGTTTAGAAGATCTCATCTGACAGCCAACTTAGAAGTGGTTCTGGGCAAATACCTGTGAGAACAGCACAAGGCTTGAGGATAACGACACACCTGAGAGGAAAACACCTCAACAAACTTCACCTCACAGGAAAAAGAGGCTTCTCCTTCAAACATTAAGATTGTAACTGAGGGGGGATGGAGATGTGACTCAGTGGTTAAGATCTCTGACTGCTCTCCCAGGGGACCCAGGCTCAATTCGCAGCACCCACATGGCGGCTAACAACTGTCTGTAACTACAAGATCTGACACTCCCACACAGACATACATGTAGGCAAAACACCAACGCAAATAAAATAAATAAATAATTAAGAAAGATTGTAACTGAGGAAAAGGAAGGTGTACCACTTCAGCCATCCTCACTGGGAAAGAAACAAAATCAGTCAGTTCTCCAACCTCCTCCAATGAAAGTGACCCATTTTGTGGGAGAATTTGGGGTCAGAATAGGACAGTCTGCGTGTTTTCACAAAGCTCTGGCTAGCAGTTTTTAGAGACCATTTCTCTAACTGTACACGGAGTATTCGGACACTTACTAAATGAAACAAAACTGAGCCTCTGCTTCCTGACTCCTGGGAAATGGAAACCTTTAAAATAGAACAAATAAACTAAAACATCCTTCTAACTTTGAAAATGTGTGTCTGTGCTGCCCATTAAATACAGAGTGCAGGATACACATGATCACATCTTTAGGATTTACTACAATGAATACTTTTATGGAATTCTTACTGTCTCAGCCTGCCTTGAAACTCCCCATTCAGACATGGCAGCATGGCCACAGACTCATCATTATGAACGCCTACACATCCATCCATCTGGCTGGTCCTCATTTCCTTACTGTTTGTTCTCTTTTACCTTTTTGAAATGTGGTCACCACCCTGTCATTTACCAAAACTTACAAAAACCATCAGTGACTGTTTTACTCCTGAGTCCAGGAGTCTTTATCTTCCAGTTTGTTCTTTTTTACTCTTCTTACTACAGAGCATCCTTCTGAAACTTCCTGCTTTAGCCAGGAACACACCTGTATCCCTCCCACTTCTCTAACCATCTCTTTTAGTTCTGAACTTGACCCACTCTCTCCACTTACCAAGGCCTGGCCATCATGAAGGTTCAATCTTAGGGACTCCCCAGAGTCTCCATTCTTTTTTGTTTGTTTGTTTTTTGTTTTTTAAGACAGGGTTTCTCTGTGGCTTTGGAGGCTGTTCTGGCACTAGCTCTGTAGACCAGGATCATAGAGATCCACCTGCCTCTGCCTCCAGAGTACTGAGATTAAAGGTGTGTGAGTCTCCATTTTTAAAGTCACACTCCAGAAAGGCTAACCTGGGATCACAGATTAAGCCATTACCCTAAAGAGAAGATGTCCTAACCCGGTCTTTAGTCTTTACCTTTTACCAAAATGTCCAATTATTTTCTCAGCATCTATTTGGGGCCTTGTCTATCACATTAAATTTCAAATTAACCTTAAATTCAGTCCTTCAAAATGGGGACCGATATGGCCAAGAATCACAAGAAGCTACATGAACAAGCAGAGCAGGATAATAGGTTGTCTATGCCAGATTCCAAAATGCTAGGATAATAAAAGGTCACAGGTGGAAAATAATGCCACCTGACTTTTAACCAAAGGAATCATCAAAGCCAAGAGTTAAATATAGAGAGAACAAAACAGAAAGGAAAGACCAAGGCTAACAACACAATATGATGGCCTCAAAGATTTGGTGATCTCATCCTTCATCATGACCTTGATCTTAGATCCAACAACAGATAGTCCTGTTGCTGTTATATTCTGACAGCATCTCAACCATATTCAAAGGTCAGTCCATGTCCACTATCTCAAAATCTCTTATCTTCTTTCTCTTCTTCTGTGATTTATCTTAGTTAATGTCAAAATCTCCCAGGAAGTACCATAAATCTTCAAGCATCTTTGTATCTTTATTTTCCTTCTATGTTCTTATCTAATTAGTTTTCTTCTGGGGGTAAGTCTCTCTTCTACTACAGGTTAGGGTAAAGCCATTCATCCCTTTACCTACTGTTAAGAGAACCCTTAGAAGTGGGAAAAGGGAGTAATAGAAGTCAATGAGATACAGTATGAATAGATCTCAACCCAATATTGATGTCTTTGAAGATAAAGGAAGGAGCCATACGCCAGAGTATGAGCAATTTCTAGAAGCTGAAAAGTTCAAGGAAGCAGATTCTGGCACAGGGCCTTGCAAGAGAAATCCTGCAATATTAATGATTCTCACTCAATACAGGACTGCTAACTCACAGAACTCTAGCATAAGTCTACAATAATTAAGCCAGTAGATTTGAGTTTATTTGCTACAGGAGCACACTTCACTCTCCCAGATACAGTTACTCTAGAGGAACTACTACCTGCTATTATCAACCATACAGGACTTCACAGAACAAATGAAAAAGAGGCTCCAAAGAAGATGTTATTGTTCCTGGAGATCCTGCTTTAAAAGACTCATTATTTCACAGTGTGCAGACATGACTGGTGCTCCAGCATAAGAAATAAGACTGAACACTGATGATTCTGTTCTCCCAAAGGTTACAGGACATCAGCAAAGACATGCTTAGATGGCAGTAAGCTGTATATAGCACCCAACAAGTCCAGGAGATGTGAACACAAAGGGCCACCCTGCCAGCTTCTGTGGTATCAGGTAGGGACTCTCAGAGAAAATGTCCTTGTTGACAGCTCTGTAACAACCCAGAGTCAAAGTAAGCATGCAGTGGGGTGGGAGGTCAATGTCTCAGCAAAGGAAAATGCATTTGCAAGGTTTTAGGGGGAAAAGGAGTAGTTACATGGGTTGGGATGGGGGGAGGTGTACAAGAGAGCACGTAAGGGATGGTTGCAAGGCCAGGCCACTCAGGACTAGGCTCTTTACCAACCAGTGCTTCCTCAGGCCACGCCATCTTTCAAGCAGGTAAGTTATTTCTAGCCAGACATACCATTCTTAAAAGGAAACCTTGATAACTCTAAAGGCAGAAATAAGAACATCTCGCCTTGGTTCCTTAACCTGTATCTCTGAGTTTGATACTGTGTTTAATGTCAGACATAGCATAGAGGTCACTGCATGTATACAGACCTATACCACTGAGGTGAAGGGTATTTGAAAAATGTACAAGTCACATCAGGAACCACTTCTGTGTTTCTACTCATACATAGATATATGTAAGGTCCAGGTTCAGGACTGACTATTTCTCAATTTCAGGCCAACATCTTGCAGTCAGGAACACAGGTTAAAGTACATAGTATGTGAATACTATACAAAAGGATGGAGCCTATAAGCTTATCTTAAATCCTCTCCTTGCCCCACAGAAGTCAAGATATGATAAAGATAGTCTAACAGAAACACTGGTGCATCTGCAGCTCTTCTGATCATTGTAAAGCTAGAGCTGCAGAAGAAATATGCCACAGAGGCAGGCACAGAAGGAAGGCTGGTACACATCTCACCCTAAACAAGAACCTATTCAAATGGATCAACGACCTTAATGGAGAGCATGAAAATAGAAGAGGGTCCACACAAAAGACTGTAAGGCCCAGCCACCCAGGACTAGGTAGGTCATGCTAAGTTCTACAACTTTTAGCTTGCTAGAGGACAAGAGGTGAACACTTCAACATCTAGGCACAGGATTTTTATTTCAAGGATCCAAACAGCATAGGAGACCCCATAGGAACTGACAAATAGGACTATGTGAAATTAAAAAGTTTCCGCACAGAAAGCAATCACCAGACTGAAGAGATGCCTGCAGAAAGTGGTAAAGGATCTATACTGGCTACACATCAGACAGGGGAATAATATCAAGAATATATAAAGAGCAGAAAATTAAACAACAAAGTCTAACCATCCAATCAATAAACAGGCTACTGAACTTCTCAAAAGAAGAAACACAGATGCCAATAAGTGCTTTAAAACATGTCTAACATCCTTAGCCACCAGGAAACGTGCCTTCATGGAAGTTGTGTTGCCTTCCAGCTCCTGAGAAGTATTCCAGGTAACACTTTACGTATTTGCTGCTTTGCAGGTTGGAATCAGTATGTTCTCAAAGAGTTCACACCTCAGCATCTTGTAAAGAATAAGACATTACAGGTACAAAGAAATGGTGAAACTCCAGCTGCAGTGCAGGACAACTTCCTCTGAGCCTGCACATACAGCACAAAGAAGACAGAAGGTAGTTAGGAGTTATAGTACTAACTCCTGCCAGGCCAGTAAAGAGATGGTACACACAGGATGAAAGTGATGGATCATTCGAGTCTGAGTAGTGGCGGGTAATAATGAATATCTTTGTGTGGTTTCTTAACCTGGGGTCGCATCTCCCAAGTAAGGGGCTCTAACCACAGATATTCATCTATGGAGTTCATGAGCTGTAGGCTTGCTTGGGACAGTCAACATCCCAGACCAAGGTACAGATATTTATCTGAGGCATAAGGGTCTATAAAAGGTCACAGAAGTATATGTAGCTATACATACATTTGTACATTAGATAATGTCTATAAAAGCAGTTAGCTCAGAACAGTCTTTAGTAAGTTTAGTCAACCTTTATCTATTCACACAGATACAGTCCTGTATATATGTGACTTTGGAAAACATTTTAGATTGTAAGCCTACTTTATAAACTGCAAAAAAATAAAAGTTTCTGACATAGATAAGCAATGTCCCAGTGTTTATCCTCATGAATAACAGTTCAGCAGCACAGGAGCTATTGTAAGAAATGTCTGGCCACAAGGCTGCAATTTGAGGATGCCTACGCTTCATTATTTCTATTTTTATTTTATTTTGGTTTTTTGAGACAAGGTTTCTCTTTGTAGCCCTTGTTGCCCTGGAACTCACTTTGTAGACCAGGCTGGCCTCAAACTCAGAGAACCACCTGCCTCTGCCTTCCAAGTGCTGGGATTAAAAGTGTGCTCCACCATCGTCCAGCTGCCTACTCTTTTGATATGCAACCAAGGATGGGCAAACTAGTCAGAGAGCAAAGGAGGAGGCACAGGGCACAAATACTTGAAAGATGGCAAACAGAAGAGGCCAAGGCCTGTTCCTTACATCAAAGACTCCACAGTCCATGACGGTGTGGGAAAGACTGTCCAATAACCTGCATGAGATTGTTATCACCCACCATGACCTTCTCCCTCCTCCCTTTAGAAGGCTCAGCTGAGACTGGCTCTGTCATAGTACACAAAATCACATTCTGGCTTTTCCTTCCTGGCTTTTTTGTGTCCCTGTTTTCTTAACTGTTCTCATTCTCATGAACCTCCTGCACCTACCTTTTCAGTTCCTGGGCCAGTGCGGTAAAGCAGAAGTGTTCCTTCCTAAAGGATTAATTTGGCCCTTGACACCTACTTTGCATGTTTAATTATGCACTAGGAGTAAGTCAACACAAAACAAATGTCTACTGTAATAACAGTTGTTTTTTTTCCTTGATATTTTATTTTTTTATTTTATTTCTATGGGTGTTTGCCTGAATATATATCTATGCACCGCATGTGTGCAATGCCCAGGGACGTAAGAAGAGAGCAATGGATCTCCTCCTCTGGAACCAGAGCTTCGGACAGTTGTGAGCTGCCATGTGGGTGCTGGGAATTGAACCCATGTCCTGTAGAAGAGCAGCCAGTGCTCTTAACCACTGAGTCATCTCTCTAGCCAGTTTTTACTTAAAATTTTACATTAGCCAACTAGGAAACAGTCTTCTTAAAACTAGGTAATTTGACTCTACAAGATTTACAACTTTCACAAACCCTCACAATAATTTGTATGGCATTTAATGCTTGAAAGCAGGTTTCTCAATAATATGAAAATGGAAATGTCAATTGAGAGAGAATACATTTATTACACATAAGCTGACAATTACATAAGACAAATAAGTAGTCTATACATCAAAAGCAGTAAGTGTAGCCTCTCAAGTCAGGCATGACAGCAAACACCTTTAATCCCAGCACTCAGGAGGCAGAAGCAAGATGATCTCTGTGAGTTTGAGTCCAACCTGGTCTACAAAGTGAGTTCCAGGACAGTCAGGACTACACAGATAAACCCTGTCTCTAAAAAACAAAAACAAACCAAAAGAGAACCTTTACCTGATTGAAAGGGGTAAACTAAACTCAAAGGCTTCTAATAATTTAGAAATAAAGGGACCAGACCCTCACTCAGCCCCCTGCTTTAGTAGCCATGACAGGCTACAGAAAAGACACAAGGAAACTCCAGATCCTCTGGCCTCCCAGAGCCTAGGGCCAAAACTGAACAGCAAATAATGAAATGTGACAGTTACACAATTTCTCCCTAGATGCTTGGTTCCTGGGAACTGTTTGGCCACAAAAGAAATTCCAGGGGGGACCAAAACCTCCCCTGTAGTCTCCAGGATATAGTTCTGAAAACTATTGGTATCTATGAACAATAGGCCACCTGCAAGTAACAAGACAATGTCATAGAAACCACAGAATGTTCCCTCTCAGCACTGACCAATGAAAATAATTGGTACACAGGTATTTCATGCCAAAAGACGACTTTGAGAAATCCTCCTAATTGTTCCTAAATGTCAACAAATCAAAAATAAACCGGTACCTACTGATGTAATCCTGTAACTTTTGTCTTTAAAAACCTAGCAGCAGACAGAGAACTTCACTCCCTTTGGAGGCTGCTGCATCAGCTTGCTAGATGGGGTCCCTGTCATGGTTGGATGAACAATCAATACGATTAAAACCTTGCTTTTACAGTTTAGTGGGTCTGTCTCCCTGGTGGTCTCTGGGGATCTTTGCAACTTGGGCACAACATTGATGAGCCCATTTCTTTTACTCGGAGGCAAAGACAGGCAGATCTCAGTGAGTTCAAGTCTAGCCTAGTCTACAGAGCTAGTCTTAGGACAGCCAAGGCTACACAAAGAAATCCTGCCTCAAAAACAAACAAGCAAACAAAGAAAAAACTTACCTCTCGCCATTAGGTCCCACTCTATTGATTAATTTTTCCATGGCTTCTTCTGTCTCTTTTAGTTTTTCTTGCAGTTGAACAAGCTCAAAGTTGGCTGAAAAACAAACATCAATCTAAGAACCATTATATGCAATTCCCTAAACTAAGAAATGGCTAGCTTTCCAGGACAGGCTCCAAAACAATACAGAGAAACCCTGTCTCAAAAAAAAAAAAAAAAAAAAAAAAAAAAAAAAAGAAAGAAAAAGAAACGGCTAGCTGAAATGATCTGTGATAATTCAGGCTTCTTCAGAGACTCAAAAAAATAGACATGAGCTTCTCTAATACAATCAGCACAGAAAAGGCTTGGAGGTCTGGCCACCAGGATCAACAGGACACATACTCACTTAGGGAATAATAAATAAGTCACTTCCTCCTCCACACAGTAACCCAGCAGAACCAACTAAAGAAAACACCCAACACTGAAAACACATCCTGCAAAGTCGCCCCACAATAAATGAAGGCGGCAGCAGATGACTGTGATTCAAACAGCGTGTCTGAGTAAGTCGCCGAGCCTAGACAGTACTAGGAAAAAGGATCAGGACTCTGAGGTGAGCCCTTAAGATCTGAAAGCATCTAGGAATGAATAGTGTCATTGTTATATTTCTTCAAAAGGAAATCCTGAACTATGGTTGAGACCTCCATGCTTTTTTGTCAAGGATAAAGAATAGACCATGCTAGGGGGTAACTCTGTGCCCTAGATGTAGTTATTTTTGCATGATTCCTAAGTAAAGAATAAAACTGATTTTACTGTCATTGCCATTGTTATAAAAAGCAGTCTTATGAGTCCATTTTACCATTTGACATATGTTTTTCTGTCTCTGACAACAGACAGTACTAACAGTCTTTCTTTTTTATTTATTATTATAGTGTGTGTTTTGGTTTGTTTTTATTTATTTTTGTGTTTTGTGTATGTGTTGAGTGTGTGTGTGTGTGTGTGTGTGTGTGTGTGTGTGTGTGTGTGTGTTCTGGCCTTGCGCTCTGTTGAGGCAGGGTATCTCTCGTTTCTGGTGCACTTCATACGCTAAGATAGCTGGCCTGCACGCTTCTGGACAATTCTCCTTTCTCAGCTAGAATTAAGAAGCATACCACATGGATTCTGGAGATAAAACTCAGCATTTTCACCCACTTAATCCTCTCATCAGTTCAAGACTTCCTACTGTCTACAATTTCTTTTCATTACTGATATATGTACCATTACTATCTCATGATCGGACATAGCAGCTTTCTTTAGATTCTTGACTATTTAAGATTTCCAAAAGGATGTGGAATGTGATTGAGGATTTAACACAGCAGGTAGTCCAGAAATAATTCCAAAAGGAGAGATACAGTCTAGGGCAGATGCTTCTGTGGCTCATACTCACTTCATTCTTTTAAAAACTTGTGATGAGAAAAATGTCTTTTAATTTGAAAACTTTAAAAATAAATTTAAAAGAAAACCTTTAATGATTGGGGTGGAACAGACCTTCCTTTAATCCTAGTACTCAGGAGGCAGAGGCAGGCAGACCTCTGTGAGTTTGGGCTCCACAGTAGGACCCTTTACAGCTGCTGCCCATGAACACCATCCAACCCTCAAGAAGCTCAAGAGTTCGTGTTTGCATAAGTTTTGCTCAAGAAATCCAGACATAATGCCTTTGACAAGCCCTTTCTTTCTAGGTGGTGCCTTCTCATGAGTTTTTCTTCCTGTGTGAAGTATATGTGTGTGTGTGACCCATACAAGTCAGAGTGCAGAAGTGTCCTCCTCTGTCACTCTCTCCCTTATTCCCTCGAAATAGGGTCTCACAATAAACCAGAAGCTCATTGCGTTGGCTAAGTGGGCTGCCAGGGAAACCTAAGGCTCCCCAGCGTTGGAGTTGCAGGTGTGCACAGCCATGCCTGGCTCCTTACATGAGTACTGGGGCTTCCATCTCAGGTTGTCATGCTTGTGTAGCAATGTTTTATGCCACAGATTCTATTTCCTGGAACCATTCTAGTCTATAAATTCTTAGACAAAAGGACTACGATATATACATTTCATTTCCCCTGACAGCATAGAATACTCTGACAGCACATTTCAAGACTCCAGAGTGTCAACAGCAAATATGGAATGTGACAGTTACACAATTTCTCCCTCAATTTCCTCTGAGAAATAAACACTTCTTCCACAAATATTTTGAAGCCTGAAAATGAAAACTAAGCCAAATGCTGACTGTTAATTTGCTAACATATACCAAAGAACTAGCAGCCTTGTGCTTATTTCAGCATTAGCCCTTTAAGGTCCAGTACCCACATACTTTTGAGAAACCTTTGGGGACATAACCACAGACTGTCCTGCTGGCTGTATTCCACTCCAGCTCAGTAACACTGAATACATGGGAAGGAGCACTTACTAATCTTCCTGTGGGTGTTCCCCGGTTGGGCAGTGGAGCAGCTCCGATTCTCTGCAGTTTTCCCCTTTGAAAGCTGAGGATGAAGGAGGTACAGCACATCAGCAGCAGCTCATGGAACACCGCATGTTAAATGAGAAAACAGAAAAGGCTGGGAGACAAAAATTAAGTCAGAAATCAAACCAGGTATCAACAGTAGAGAAGTGTCTTTTTAAAAGCCACCAAAGGAGTCAAGAAGGTAAAAATGATCAAAGCAAAAATCAAAGCACTAAGAAAACACAGTCTCATAGTCGTCTATTGTACTTGTGCTGTCATCCAAGTGACAGGTGCTGTGCAGCACCTGGGGACATTCTCATGCTCAACTCAGGCTGCCTGAAGAATTCCTGGGTGAGAAGAAGCTAAAATCTCCTCACTTTACTCAAAGCATGAGTATAAGGAGAAAGTTCTATACCTCTTCATAGAGAATAAGCAAGTAGCCTACAAAAACCTGCTTGGAGAAGAAACTAAATTGGGGGTCTGCCTTAAAAGACCCAACAGAATACTCCAGAACCAGGAAATGTTGGGCTTAGTGTCTAGATATGACAGCGTTGTCTTGGGAGAATTGCAGAGATTACAACAGACACAGTATCTTATATCCTAGCACCATTAAATATGGCCTCACGGTGGTTACTTGCAAACCCTGGTTTTTATCCTACAAACAAGCCTCTTACATCTAGTCTAGTTTTTTGCTCTTTTCCTTTGGATTATGGTGCTGATTGGATTAGGAACCAGAAAATCCAAGCTTAAACCCTGGCCTTACATTTTAGTTGTAAATCTATGCTAAGATTTCTCACCTGTAAAACTGAGATGACAGCAATCCTAACTAGTTTAAAGAGATAAGGTTTTTAAAGAGATGATGGATTTGAAAGGGCTGTGTGACCTTTTCGGGCCTTTACTGGAGATGATTTTTATTGCAATGACATTAGCTTTTCACTGACATATGTCTAAAACAATTCCACTTACCTTAAACAGAATGTACAGTATATACAAAAAAATTCCAAAGCCATAGATGGGAATGATCTGGCCCATCAGTCCTCTTCTGCTACCCCCTCCTCCAGCACCTCCACCTGCTCCTTTGGCCTTTGCGAAGGCCTCTGCAAGGTGAGACCTCTGGAAATGAGGCATCTGACCATCTGAGGGTGCCGAGTGGTGATGCATCATAGGTGGAAATCGGCCCAATTTTCCTGAGAAAATTAATTAATCAGCTTTATCTCTTTTGTTTTAAATATTGAGATTGCAAAAACATCTTATGCATTGAAATTCGAATAACAGAAGCAACTCAGACATGTTTAAGGAAAAAAAATAACAGGAATTTGATTAGAAAGATAGAAATATACAGATATAAAGTGTTAGGGAAGTCCTGTGCATTTGTCAATAAAGCACTGTCTGGCCAATAGGGAATCTAGATAGGAGGGACTAGGAGTCCAGAAGGACTCTGGGTAAGAGAAACACAAGAGATTCAAAATGTAACGCCATGGGGTAGGAAGCCCGGAACTATTCTCCGGTAAGAGAAATACTTAGATTAACAATTATGGGGTAATTACTTAAGTCAGAGCTAGCCAGTAAGAAACAAGCAAGGCCAACAGCTTCATAGTTAATATAGCCTCCTGTGTGTTTATTTGGGACTGATGCAGCTCTAAAACCAGGCTGGCGGGAAAGCTTCTCTCAAGGAAAAAGCTTCTCTTAACAAAATGGTGTCAGAGCGGGATTGAATTTCCACGTAGAATGACAAAAGCTTTAAAGGAATTTTAGAAACAGAAGAACAGAGAGAAGCACAGAGTTTTGGTAGCAGCATTTTTCTCAGGTGTGCTCTGTTTTGCTAGCCACAAGCTGAGATTCACGCGGCTAGCTTACTGGAGTCTTCCTGACTCGGCATAAAAAGAAAAAACAAAACAAAACAACCAGCAAGGTTGTTTTAAGAGACTCTGCTAACGATTAAAATGTGTGTACGTACAGCTGGAAGTGGCACCATTTGCTGGATGTCAGCATGGACTGAGGCGCTAAGCTGGAATCACGCTTACGCCCACCATCTTGAAAAAAAAAAAAAGGCAGTTTAAAACAGCCACGGTTTTACAGATAAGACACGTGGCCAGAAAAAACGTAAAGATTTACAGTAAAGTCAGACTTGGATGAACAAAACCTCTAAAGGTTTACAGTGTGTTTAAAAATATATGTGAGATTGAGAGAGAAAAGGAAACGGCAAAGTGGTAAATAAATAGAAAAGCTGGCATGGTGGCACACTCCAGTAGGATTTACTCCAGAGGCAGAGGCAGGCGGATTTCCAAAGAGAAACCCTGTCTCAGAGAAAAATAAATAAAAGTGAAAGAAATAAAGTAATAATAGATAAATAAGCCACGCAAAGATGGAAAATACACAGAGTCTGGATACTGTACGCTATTATGTTTTTCAGTTTTTTGATTGCTCAGGAAGGAACAGCTGCTAAAGTACACTTGATTATAAATGCTGCTAAATTAATCCAACTTCTATCTTTTGAAAATGCCTTGACTTCAAAATTTAAGTATAAGGATATGTTACTTGGGAAAGGAGATTTTACTTATGTTTCTACAGAAAATGAAAAGCTGAAGATTCCTTCCAGGCTTCTGTGGTTTGATGAACCAAGACCCCCGGAAGCAGTGGACCAGTTGTTCCAACAACTGAAACAGCTAAGATGATGGAGTCTTACAGACCACGAAAATAAGGACTTATACAGGTTTCTGAGTTTTGTCATGATCCCCATGGTATGAACAGCGCCCCCTTCCAGCACGAAGCAGTTTGGAATGAGTGACGTCCCAATTCCCATCTTGTTTATAAATCTTTGTTTTCATTTCAATGGGTTGCTTATAATTGATTAATGATTACAGCCAATCTTGTTTTAATAGTAAAAAGGGGAATTATGGTATGGGTATTGTTTTTCATTTATTGATACAATTTCAAGGTCAATTTTGTGATGTGTATATTTCTCCTTTTGATTAAGTATTGTGCTTATACTGATCTTTTAAAACATAATGCATAATTAAATACAAGCTATAGATAGTTACTTATAATAGTCAGAATTTATAGTTAGGTAAGTTAGGTTTTCTAGATATATAGAGATGTATTTGAGACAGATAGATAGTCTTCAAACCTCTCAAAGACCTTCAGAAAAATGGCATTTAAAATGGTTTAGGGTTTTTCTTGACAATGAGAAATGTCTGCTCCCGGCAGCACCAATTACGTCTGAGAGGAAGATGGGCATCGAAGAAACTTGTTATGGAGTTTACTTTCAACATGGCAAGACTAGCCATTTGGGCAAGAAACTGCTCTTGCCTGTACTGCTTGACTGTTGTTGTATAATCTGGACATACAGGACCCACAGAAAAGTGACTGCTGAACTCAGTCTTACAGGGTTCCTGCTTCATGGAAGAGTCTACCAGACTTTCTACAGGACACAGAGAAATGACTGACAGACTGCCAATGCAGATGGACAGTTTTGAAATTTCCTGCTTTGCTGAGAAATCTTCTGGACACACTGTGGCCTGTGGGCTGAAGATGGATACCCCGACAAAACAGAGGAACTTCGGGTGACTGTCCAGGTAGCAAGATGTCTCTGTCAATCCTAGTGTTTATATATTATCCTTCTGTGGTCTTTAATGGAGTTGAAGGCAGATAGTTATAATTATAGTTTTCCTTAGTTATGATAAAAGATAAGCTACATCTAGAACTTTGGACTCACAAGGATGGGATGCAAGGTATTTTCTTTAAATCTTGCTAAATGTTAATAGACAAAATGTTGTAACTGTGTTCTTACTGGATAACTGTTCTGTTATATATAATTTGACTATGCTAAAGTTAAGACCTTTCTTTTTGTTTAAACAGAAAAGAGGAGATGTTGGGGAAGTCCTGTGCATTTGTCAATAAAGCACTGTCTGGCCAATAGGGAATCTAGATAGGAGTCCAGAAGGACTCAGCGTAAGAGAAACACAAGAGATTCAAGATGTAATGCCATGGGGTAGGAAGCCCGGAACTATTCTCCGGTAAGAGAAATACTTAGATTAACAATTATGGGGTAATTACTTAAGTCAGAGCTAGCCAGTAAGAAACAAGCAAGGCCAACAGCTTCATAATTAATATAGCCTCCTGTGTGTTTATTTGGAACTGAGGCGGCTCTAAAACCAGGCTGGCAGGAAGGCTTTCTCTCAAGGAAAAAGCTTCTCTTAACAGTAAAGCATGTTGTGATAATCTCTATTTGTTCACTAAGCCATTTCCTCTTCCTTCTGGGTCCATAGCTAAACTACATTTTCCAGCCTCCTGTAGAGTTAAATGTTTCAGCCAAAGGAACTTGGCCTATAAGGCTTCCCATAGGTTCAACTACATGATCATTTCCTTATGTAGGATGAATACTAATGGCCAAGGAGACCTTGAAAGTCATATGTTGCAAATAGCAGAGCCTCCATCAACCTTGGTTTCTAAGTAACTGTGGCACAGGCCTCTACTGCTGCCACCCTGCTAACTTAGAGCCATCTGGTCCTGTTTGTGTAAGTGAAAAGTGAGCTTTTATTGTTTAAGGGCCATTATATACTTTGGAGTCTATCTGTTAACAGTGGTTAGCCACCCCTATCTAATATAAAAGGAAATGTAGTGTAGCCTCAGGAGGCAACAGAACCAGAAACTGGAAAGTCATCAGGATCCAGGCTGGCTACTTTCACATTCCAGCTCAAACTCTCTCCTCTCTATGGGACCATAACTTTTTCCCTTTGTTTCTTCGCTCACATCTTCAATCTCTTTCTTCAGATAGCTCCTCTAGTTTCTTTGTGCCCACAGTAGAAGACAGTCATTCCAAATCTCTCAATTTACAACTCCTTCAAGAAACTAGCTAAGACTGGCCTAATTCCAAATTCCTTGGAGGAAGACTGAGTACTCAGCTTTGGGAGGCAAGCATCCCTTTGAATCAGCTATAGCTGAGCAGACAGAATTCATACATTAGAAACAGGGTCAAAGGCCAATCCTGGAAGAGCTTAGAGAAGGGGAGGTTTGTCATCCATTTTCTTGCATTGTTAAAACTCATTAAAAGCAGCCAAAAGTTACACCACAGTCCCAATTGGAGACAAAGAAAGGAAACAATAAGTCTTCAAGTAAAAGTGTTTGAAAAACCAGTGATGGGATAACACTCTAAAGCACAGAACATCAGAGATCAGAAGAATCTTAAAGAAAACCTAAAAATACAAATTTGCTGTATTTGACTTCAACAAAATTAAAGCGTTCTGTTCAATATAGAAGACTATGAACAGACTTAGGAGGAATGAAGTCAAGGAAAAAAGTCTAACTTTTAGAACTGAGAAAGGATAGATATCTATAATATAGAAGAAGAGTCTTCTATTTAGTGACATCACAGGAAATTCACAGCAAAAGGGACCAAAAGATGAAGAAAAAACTTACAGAAATGGAAGCCTAAGTGGCCGCCAACACATAAATGATGAAACTCAAAAGTATGACAGTGGCTGGTCAGTGGTGAGTTCTCAATACTAACAAAGTGTGTGACCAAAATGTATAATCTACTTAGCAGGATGGTGGAAAGGAGCAAAAGTTGGTCAAGATATGGGAAGGTAAGAACTGTGCACTGAGGTAAGAATGCAAACACACAGCCACCCTGCTATGTGGCACACCTGTCCTTTGTGATACTATACACAGGCTGGACGACCTAGTGGTCTTTCCCTGGTAGGTAAATCTGGCAGAAGTTCTCAAATACAGTTGTGGATAGGCGGGCTGAATGACTCACTAGAGATCTGTGATGGAATGCTCACTAAAATGATGTAGCAAGGAGTTTCAAGTATCTGAACTCCCTAACTGGAAACGAAACACTGAAATGGAATTGACACAAATACAGAATGTTATGCTTTTAGAAACAATATTGTAAGAGTGCCTACACACAGACATGGTGGCACAGACCTATAAACCCAGAACTTGGAATATGAGTAGGGAGGACTGTAGGTAAAACTGGCCTGGACAATATAGCAGGATACGGTCTCAAAAGTGGGAAGGGGAATTGAAATATAATAGCTCATAGGTAACAGCTGGCTTGCCATACCTAAAGTTCGTAATTGGTATGAAATAAGCAAGCAGAGGGCAGGCTAGAAAGAGCAAAGAAGAGACAGATAGGCAAAGGATGCCTCACCATCCCCCAGTCTGATTTGCCTTTCTTGCCGGC